TGCGGCTACCAACATAATAACAATAAGTGTGGGTGCCCGATCGGCTTTTTTAGGCATCACCTGCGCCAAAAACACAATCCCTTTCGGTGGGTGGAATAGAGAATAGGCACGTGTATAATTAAATCTGACCGAATCGAGGCAAAGGATGCGCTTTTCCGCCTTGGTTCGCCTCTGGCAGCTACTGCAGTGGCGTGGGCGCAGCTGCTTCAGCTTTTTTTTTAATATCATTATCCCTTTTTTTCCAGCTGCCATACGGATCTTCTTTCTAATTCGTACATCATCCCACACCACTTTACTTTACTACCGTCTGACGCTTGTTGTAAAAAATATCACTCTGCTATTAATCTATCGCCTTTAATTTATTTATCAGCCCCGCGAGAAGTGATGATTCGGTTTCTATTTTCTTGGGCAGCTGCGCCGCCGCCACCGCAACAGCAGCTCAAAATGAAAAGTCGGCAGCTCGGCCGTGGGTTGCACCGCCGCCGTATAATAAGTCACAAGCGGAGGAAAAGACAAGTTTATTGTCTGCTTCCATCAAAGCCTCACCTGCCTTTATTTCATTGTTTCCACCTCGCTCATTTGCATGGGATGCAGTTCGTCTCTGTTATTTATGCCAGCCAGCATTATTTGTTGTTTTCTTTTATACGAATGTTGGTTGCTTTACGGCCTCTGCCGCTGAATATAAATAGGGGAATTTGTTTTTTAATCATTGCAGACGGTCTCGCGGCCGTAAATGGCGTTGTAAAATTGAAATTGTACCGCAAGAAGTAGCCAAGCTGCTCTCTCGACGGGCATAACAACAACAACTGCTCTTTCGAAAAAAGAAGCAGCACGAGAAACGAATCCAACGCCCCAATTTGAATTTCATTGTATTGTGATGATCCATTTAACATGCGACATGCAAATTGGAGATTGTGAAAGAGTCTCTTCCGCCTTCGGAGTGGAGCGAAATCAAGTTATGCAACCGGCAGGACACGTTTACCACGCAATAAGCCTACCCTTACCCCTTCTAAATTGAGGCATATCTCAATTTTTAATCGTTTATAATTGCAAATATTTCATACTTGTAATATTCCTTCTTTTTGCAGTCTAAAACTAATAAAAACTATTGTAATTTGTCACTTCTAAGAAATAAATAACTGACAAAAATCAATTATTATTTTTCAAAGCATAAATATTCTAACTTACTGATCATTGAGAAGTCTTTCAATCGTTAATAAAGATTTGTCCCATTAAATAGCCGATTTAAGTTTGTGTTTGGAATTAAGTGCGGGATAAAAGATTAAATATTTATATATTTAAACTGAGAGGTTTATAAAAAAAAGTAGGAGGATTTAATATCCATTATCTGGCATCGATTCAAAATCATCTCTTCGACACTCGATTAAGATTATGCTAATGCACCGGCGTGCGTGAAATTTATGCCCTTTTCCGGCTCGAAAGCCAAGTCATGGCGCACTCAAGTCCTCTCGAAAGGCAAATATATGCAAATTCGGCAGTGATAATTACGCGCATCACCTCCGACTGGCAAATTGATTGGTCCTCGCTAATTGGCCGCGGCGGGTAAAAAAACCAAATATTCCAGGCACTCCTCGGTCCGATCAAACACATTAATGCGGCCCTGACGAGCCTTTCTGGCCGAGAGGTCAGTCTCTCCATTCATTTCCTATCGGCATTAAAATAAAAGAGTGTTTCTTTCGACATATCTCTCTGCGCGAGTAGAAAAAATGTATAAAAATAAAAACGCGGGTTGTTATTATCTAGGCGTCCGTGTCGCACACACCTTCTTTTCCTCCGAAATAACACACGCGGCAGCTCAACATCCTTTTGGGAGTGGTATATGCATGCATATGGGAGCATGCAAATGAGCAGTCGTGCCGCACACGAAGTGCCGGCTACCATTGTGACCTGTCCTCTCGTCCAAATAATAATAAAAAGAAAGAAAGAAAGAGACGCCGTGCTTTACTCTGCTCGGCCGAGGTTATAATGAATAAATTATCCGTGGATAAGATCTCGAACACGGAAACTCCCTCGGAAACTATTAATACGGACGTGATCCAACAGAGGAGCAAAAATGCGCTGCGAGCAACACAAACTTTTTTTGAGAGAGGGAGCTGGCTGAATCAGGAATTAATTTAATTAATCTTATAACCTTAGGGTTCACCGACACAGTGTTTCAACAATTATTTGTATTGAAATCATGAGTTTCATTAAATATTTCTGTTGCAGTAAACAAGATTATTTAACTAGCAAAATTTAAAAGTCATTGATAAAAATATTTATCCAAAGTTTTTAAAATTTAAAAATTTTATTATATAATTGTAATTTTTAATTGTATCATTTTAAATATTGAAGAATTAGATGAGGTATTTTCAATAAAGAATATATTGATAAAATGCCCTTTAACTCAATTGGTCATTTTTTTCCTTCAATTCTTTTTTATTTTCAATTTCATTTGAATAAAACGGAAATAAATAAAATAAAATTACAGAATATTTTTAATTTAAAAAAAAAAAAAATAAAGGATGTGCAAGAATAACAAAAACTGCTCATATTTTTTTAATAATTATAAGCATGAGGGTGGATTTAGCACTTCTGTTTAATAAATGTTAACAATTTTCATTTATATAATTGGATATTTATGCTGCCATTCAATCTTATGCTGCTACAGTTAAAAGTTCCAAAAATTACAAATTATAATATATTATGTATATCAAATTAATTTCTTTAGAAAGCTAGAAGAAGTAGAAACGATGTAGTTTAATATTTTATATATTTTTCTTTGATCAAATTTGTTGAAGGCACTCATTTTTAAAATGATGAACTGGCCCATAAATTTCCAAAATTTGCCACAACAACAGCCGGAAGGGCGAATCAACAAAATAACTATTCATAAAAAAAAAATGCCTCCTAAAACGGCACTTCTTTCTAAGATTCCAGCTGTTGCTGGCCAGCAGCGAACACATCAAATCATCATCATCATCAAAACAGACCAAATTTTATATGTATTCCCAAATGTGAGCCATTTAGGGCGTAATTTCGAAAGATTCTCGCGACTTCTGCTTCCTCGGAGCGGACACGAACTCCCGACGGAAAAATGTTTATAAAAACGAGTTCGGAGATGCTCTCACGATAAATGATTAAACAAGCAGCAGCAGCATTTTGGTTTATTTCCTTCTAGAAAGGCCGTGCAGCTCGGAGGTGAAGGAAGAAAGAAAAGTGGCACCTGCAGCAGCCGCAGGAGCACCGCGTCCGAACACACAAATTCTTCCCCACCCGCGCACCGCCTCCAACATGGCGTCCGACGGAGAACAACCACGTTGCACGCTCGACTTGAGAATTTATAATATTATATTTTCCGAACGTGTCCACCGAGGGCAGTTTGCGTTTCACTTTTTCCAAAGCAAAAAAACAACACGCTCACTGATTTCCTATACGCGGTGTTTATATATCTGCCCGTGCTTTTTTTCTGCTCGTTTTATTGCATCCATAGTGCAGTGCGGCAGTTTCACCGCAACTCCATAAACGCTCGCTCTCCACGTAACTTAATACGCTCCGCAGCGTTTTCAAGCAAAGCAAAGCCTTATCTCCAGCACCCAACACTTTTATTATATATGCACACACAAACTCACAAACAAACCCTGCAAAACTGCAGTGTGTAGAAAAGAAGAAATAGAAGAAATCCATCAGTGAAAAAAAGGAAATAAATTTCGCTATAAAATCTAATTACAAGAAAAAATTCATTTAAAAAAATCAAAAGTTGTTTTTGTTCTACCTTTGACGGATCTAAATTTTTATTTATTTTATTATTTACATTTTAATCAATTATTTTGCTATTTATTAAAATAGACTTTTAAAGCCCTTTAATCTCCTGCCTTTCTGGCCTCATTTTCAAACCGCAAAGACCAACGTCGGGACTTTTGTGGCTGTTTTTTTTCGCACCGTTCAGGGTTTTGACCCCTGCTGTTAGCAGATTTTCTGACCCCTTGCTGCGAGCTGAGAGTTTTTTTTTAGTCTCTAACTCTTTTCTTTTCGTCCCGAACAATATATATAAAAATTTCATTTCCGAACTCTTTCATCTCATTTTTATATTCTCCTCTCCAGCGGCGATTCAAATGTTTTTCATCTCCGTTTCAGGATTTCTGGAGCTGACTCATATTGTGTGTGTGTTTGTAATGGCCGAGATTTATATTTCACCACTATATCAAGTTACCGCGCAGCTCTCCGGAACAAAAATCAGAATAATAATAAAAAAAACGGCGTGAATTAATTCTTTGCTGTGGCGGCGGCAATCGTTGCCGCTATTCAGCAGCGTGATTTATTATGCATTCGGCCGCTTTTTGTGTTTCTCAAAATCGTACCTACGTACGAATATAATACATTGTGTGTGCGAGAGAGAGAAAAAAAAGAGGCGCAGCGTGAGTTATAGGAGGCGAAACAATATCACGTAATTTTTCCTCGGCCGAGCTTTTGTGCCTGAAAGTCGTAATTTCGGCTCAATCAGCTATAGCGAGTGCGGACAGAATTTGAATACTGAATAGAGCTAGTTAGAATATTATCATAATATTATATCGAGAAAAAGAGAAACGTGCGTTCAGGTGTGGAGGGAGGAGGCTCAGGCGGGTTCCGCTGGACCAGAATTTAAATTGAAAACAATTCTGTCTTAATTTCCCCTCCGTTTGTCAATTAATTTGAACAATTTAATACGTCATAAGTACATGAAAATTTAAAATAAAAAAAAAATACTTCACTTTTAATTGGGAAAGAATACTATTTTTGTATTTTCTTAATGAATAATGATTTTTTTATGCATTTAATTTAGGAATCAAAACTCCTTTAAAAATTTTGCAAATAAGTTCTGAAATGTATTATTATTTTAATTATTTTTAATCAAAAAATATTTTTAAATACTTTTAGGATGAAAAAAAATTGAAGGGAAATCGTGTTTCAAAAATACAAAACCAACATTTTTTAAAAAAATTTCAAAATTCGGTACTCACCATTGAAGTCGAAGGCAAGTTTCCGCTCAGTCGGGAGTTCGGTTCGGCGAGAATCCTCTTGTGAAAATAATCCACAAAATCCAAAGGCGCACCTCAAAATCACTGAATCACTTGGCGAGCGGTACCTCTCGCTCGGCGTCTGCTCAGCATCTGAAGCGCCGCGCATTCCACAGGCCCCTCCGAGAAAGGGCCGCCTCCTCCGCCTCCTCCTCCTCTTCTCCGAGCGCTCCCCGACCGGCAGAACGAAAACCTGATCTTGGGCGATATTTTATTCATATGCACGCCGCAGGTTTGCCTCACTTACTATACACGTTCGTCTCTCTCTAAAAATATTATTTATATTATGTAGTTCAAAAATAAATGCTGTCGGTACACTTGCGAGAGATGAGATGAAAAAGAGCCTTTTTTAAATCGGTTTAAAATAGTGCCTTTTGAATCGTGTGCGAAAACGCTTAAGAAAATTTGGTTGTTGCAAGATGGAAAAAGAAATTATTTTCGGTAGAAGAAAATAAAATCATTTTCCTGGATAATGGGTTTGGAAAAATGTGAAAAAAATTTTACTATTGGTGGTGCAGTTTTTTCCAACAATTCCTCTCTTTTCTAATAATTGTTTCCAAAGAATGAAATGCAAAAATTTGGACAAATAAACAACAATTAATAATAATTGTGTTAATTGTTTATTAAATTATATAACAATGAAAAAAAGCCGGATTAAAAATAGTTTTAAAATCATTCCTTTGATTGTTTTCATAAATTTTGCAACGTCAGCCCTAGAGCAAACGTAACAATGGAACTGTTGATATATTTATGGAAATTCAGTCAAGTTGATGTCACGTTATGTTAAATTTTAATATTTGAGTTTAAATTAAGTGCAAAAAGAAAAGTATGAACTTTTTCCTCAATTTCGTTTACAATTCTTATTTTGTCATTGTTTATTATTTATTCGTTATTTATTTAATATTGTAAGTACTGTAAATTTTTATCAATTTCACTTTTTTAACTTTAGCAGGCAAAAGAATTGATTGTCATCATTGATAATTTCCGCTGAACACTCATATATCGCTGCGATAACCACAAAAGTGGGAAATTTGAACGCAAGGTTTGCTCTCCATATCATCAGCCGGCGAAGGTTTCAAAAAGAGGATAATTGATCGCTGATCTTTATACTCTTCTCGATTATTTTTCAATTAAATTTCATTCCAAACGGAAATCACGAGAGAGATTTCGCGGCGCCTTTTGTTTCGGGCGCTGCCGGCGGATTTGAGGTGCGCTTGAACTTTTTAAAGCAGACGTAAGAATGATGGATGGACGAGAGCGGATTTTCACAATGCGAAATTGAATTCGCGCTGAATTTGCACTAATTAAGTGTGACCAATGGCCGCTGGCTGTGTGCCCGCGCCGATCCCAGAATGCAAAAGGCATAAAAGTGGAGCTGCTCCACCCAAATTCAAATCGGAACTCACGACTCTGCGCAGAATATTTTATTTAGGGATTAAAATTCGACATATTAAAAGAAATTTAAATTAAAAAAGTAAAGTAAATTGAAAATTAAGAACTTTTTTGCGGTAATTTATAAAAGAATAAAAAAGCAACAAAATTTATATTAGTTGTAAAAATTGTTTTTATTAAAAAACAAATGGATTTCATGAGCAAGAAATGTACAAAAATCAGCAAGTTGAAAAACCACTTTTTAACAAAATGTTTCAATTTTTTTTTCAATTTGCTGATTTTTTTATTTATTTTTCTTGCTCGTGAAATAGGGTCGCAGATCATGACCGAAACCGGTGGAGCCGTCTTATTTTTCAATAAACAAAATTTTTTTAAATGAAAACAAAGCCTGAGTTTTTCACGTCCATTATAATCTCCTCGAGTGTCAATTTGTCCAAACAAAAATAATTTTATTTCTAACTGTGCTTAAGAAAAAAAATATTTATTAAAGGTAGCAGAAAATGTCATGTATCGTTTTGAGGTTTGTGGTAAAAGTAATTATAGCTGCTGATAATAATGAAGAGAACTTCTAACAGATTTGTGAGGTTTAAAATTTAATGCACTATTTTTTGATGTTCAAAAAATATATCCTGTAGATTTTTCAAAGCAAACCCACAATTTCTATATCTTAGAGAAATCTGCTCATAAACAAGCGATTTGCAAAAGGAAAAATGCTTTATAATTCACAAAACTCTCGTACGTCAGATTAAAATCTGGTGGCACGCATAAATATGCCGTGCTACACATTATCTCTCGGTCGCGACAAAAAATATTCGCATACATGAGCATATAAATAGTTTTTGCGTCTAGCTGGATTTGGCATTATATATGAAAAAAAGAATTATTACCGGCCAACTTAAACGGAGACGACGCGCGCAAGAGGTTTTTATCGCTATAGACTCTTTTCTGCCTCATCTTTTCTCCTCTCTCGTGAAGTACGTTTTGCTTTTCTTAATACGCAGAACGCTGATAATAGCAGGCAGGCCTTTTTATAAATACACCCGGCCAGAGGAGGCACTTTATATTCGGCCGCGCGATTGCAAAATATTATGGATGCGAGGTCGCTGTCTTCATTAGTTTTGCAAATCCCGCCGGAATTTACACTCAAGCAGAAAATCTTGCTCCGACGAAAATATTTCATTTTACTTTTATATATACACGTACGCAAAAGGTGGGATACATACAAATGAGGATCAGAGATGAATATTTATATAACGAGGTCTGCAGGGAATGTTTAGCAACTGCTCTCGGGCTAAAATTATTATTTTCAAAATCATAATCTTTAGGCAGAACTACGAAAAATAAGTTCACGAAAATGATAAACTGTGAATGCATGATTTTGTTTACTTGAAAGGTATTATTTCAAATTTATAAAAATATTATTTGAAATTTAGTTATTATTCATATTAAATAATAAATTCAACAATAAATGGGAATTAATAAAGGAAGGCATTTGAGAGAAAAACATTTCTATATTCTACAACTATCAGTTACAGCTTGATGAATGGTTTTATATGTTATTCAAAATTTTCATTTTAATATTATTAAAATAATTAACATTTCATAAACATCTTAAATTACAACTTAATAAATTAATAAGCTGTTGTAAATTATAAAATAAAATAATAACATTTGCAAATGGTAAAATGTTATATTATAAAATAAATTAAAAAAGGTAATATAATAGTCAAATATAAATTTTATAGTTTATTTTAATTAATATATGCGTTGCAAAAGTAATGTACATTCCCAATCCAAGAACCATCTCAGCAGATTTTCATGCGGGATCTGGTTTTAATTCCTTCTTATGCTGCATAAAAAATCGCAGGCAAAAATTTAAGAGTGCTTAAGTGTCCATAAATTTATGAAAACTGGCACCACGTATAATTAAACCTATAAATTTTTGGCAGCCAAGCAAAAAGACAGACGAATGGTAATGCAGGTTTGCAGGTGGCTTTCTTGAGGTTTGAGCTCCAATCAAAAAGCCTCCTTTAAGTCTTACTTTTATCATCAACCTTATAAAATCAAGATTAAAATTTGCTCTTGCGAAATTAAAAATACAATTAGTTGAAGATTCAAGCCTTATAAAAAATTACAACCTAAAATTATTTGCAACTCTCAATGAGGTACAAAAATCGACACAATTACATTTGATTAATTAAGGAAAAAATTTTACATCAATCGGTTAATTATTATTTAATATCAGTATTTAATTTTTTCTTAATAAATTAATTTTTAACAGTGCGGTTGTAAAAATTTAACAAACCAACCACGATAAAAATAAAAATAAACTGAATAGTGAACAATTTCGGCAATTGATAATTTTTCCCTTTTTCGGGTAAAAAATCGTGATCAAACCTTTTAAAAGTTTTTATTTTTTACTTTGCCGTCAGGAAATATGATTCATGGAACCAGACTTGGACTATCTAAAATAAGAGCACTCTCGGACCGAGAGAGTGTCTTTCGAGGTGCGTCTCAAATAATTTCGCGATAAAAAGCGTCAAGTCTGGCGGGCAGCGGGAGTTTTTGTCAGCGCCACGCCGGAAAGTGCCGCGTCACCTAATGGGCTATTTATCTACATATAAGACGATGATGGTGCTCAATAATTACTGCATTCTCATCATCATTGTGTGTTATTATTGCATCTGCTCGACGCGCGCGGTCTCCTTTCATCATCGTCGCTCTTCTTCGCGACTCACCGGTCTGGCGAGCAAGACCGACCTGCCCACCGCTCGGACACGCCGAAAAATGCAACCAATCTTTGCAGTCGAGACGAGTGAAAAAAAAATAATAATAATACCAGGCGCTCTTGATGTGCACTTTGCAAAAGCACTTTTCTGCATCTCAGCACTCTTGTGTGGCCAGAATGAAGCGTGTGCGGTCTTTTTTTAATTGTCTTGAACATTTAATCATCATTTTTAATTGATTGAATTCGTTTATTCTGAAAGAAAATTGTTTAAGTAATATCTACTTATTTCTTTTTGCATTAATTTTTATACAATAATTTGAAAAATTGAAAATCGCCACATATTTTGCAAATTAAGCATACATTTTGAGTCCTCAATTGATTATTTTGCAATTTACCAGGCATATTTGCTTTCCACAGCCGCAACATAATTGATTTCTCATTTAAACTATTGATTATATTGTTTCAACTATAAATAAAAATTATTTAAAAAAGTAAATCTTGGAAATTGATATATTTTTTTAGTGATATATTTCATTTTAAGCTATAAATTTATAATTCGCATATTTTAATTTAATTCTGTGTTATTAATTTCAAACACAAAAAAGATAAAATTACTACCTGAAAATACTTTTGAAATTAATTGAAACAAAAATTTCTGAATTAAAATATTTTTACCAATAAAAGAAATGAAAAAAATTGGTCCAGTTCCAATTTTTAACATATTTTTCCTAGAACTTTTAAATAAACATTAAGTTAACAACTGCTTGAATTTATTAAAGCATTGCAAATTATTATAGACGCAGAGTAACAAAAAGCTTCTGGCCAAATTGCGCGCAGAAGAAATGCTTCTTCTGGCCACTCGCACAATTTGATGTTTCATTCGCGCTAATTGCATGAAATATCAGAATGACTGTCCACAATTCTTGTAATTCGGCGGCGGCGGCAGACTCGGATAATTGCACGTTTTTGTTTTGCATACATTAAAAGCGGAGACTTCGCTCTGGAATGCCGCGGACGAGTTTGAAAATAAAAAAAACCGACGGGCCGGGCTTTAAAAAATATATTTCACATTCCCGACCCGGGGCTGCCTTTTGAATTTCCATCAGCGCGCACCTACGTGAATATAAAGGTATAAAAGACCCTGTATACGTACTACACGTGATACGCCGGGTAAGATATGAAAATTTTTATTTATTACCCGGGCCAGATAAGAACTGGCAGCGTCTCTGCTCTGCACACACCTAAATTTCGGCGCTCGTAATTTTTATTGCATGCTGATGAGTCTCCGAATTCCATTTATCAATTAAGGAGGAATTCATTTTGTCGCCAACGGGCATTTTTCGGTGGTGTCAAATGCGCTGAATTAATTGTTCCGGAGATGCCTGGGCGGCTCCGAAATTGAATCGTTGTTCTGCTCGTGGCCACCTTCGAAGTTTTATTATTTTAATGGCTATGTTGTTTTGTGATTGGAAATTAATTAGAGGCAGATCCCTGGTGATCACTCTGAATGTGTAATGAATGGGCCTGATTTTCTCTAGCCAAGGGTTTTAAGATAACAAAAATTACTTGAAAAAAAGGGCAAACATATTAGCATCATGCTGAAATCTTTTTGTAAACAATTATAATTCAAATTCAATTATTTAATTAATACGCTTTTAGTCACAAGAATAATTTGTATTAAAATTTATTAACCGGATTGAAAAGAAATCCAAAGTAACTCCAAACAACCTCTTCATATCATTTTTTGAAAGTAAAATCTGTATTTGCAAGGGAAACACTCCCCTATCACATAAATCTGCGATTGATGTGGACGTCACGATTTTTTCGCGTCTCACAGTTAAAATTCCTGGCCAAATATAAAGCAAAAAAAACCCCGGCGCTTTCCGACTCACTGTCCGTCAGTCAAGCAGTAAAAAAGAGCTCAGCCAGGGAAACGATATGAAAAGTCAAAATTTATGACGGCGCTCAGACAATGGGGTATTATAGGACCGCCGGTCGGTTTGAAATGAGTTTAGAATTTTGATCGGCTTTTGATTTTTGTTGTTTATTTGTCCAAATTGTTTCATCACATTGTTTACATACAAATTTGCAAAATAGATTTCAGCCGCCACTGAAAATGTATTGAATTTAGATGAACAAAATTAAGAATAATATTTCAGAACAAATGGTAGTTGATAAAAAAAAAATAAAACCAAAAATAATACATTGGAATCATTTTAAGATTGACTTGGTTTTATGAATTAAAAAATTAAACATAAATTTGTAACGAAATTGCTTGATTTATTTTATTATTTTTTCTTCTCAGTGGATACAAAAATATTTTAACTTACAAAAAATATTTATTGCACATCAGGTGTGCTAAAACGCCCGACACCAACAGAGACTCAGCCGCCGCGGTAAACCCAGATTTGATATAAACATATTTATTAGCCTGCATTAATTAATTTCTTTTTCATTCCAAAGCTTAATTTTAATTTTTGAAATAAAAAAAATAAAAGTGAAGATCACTGCGTTTAAGAAATTTAATTTACAAGCTTTTCAGTTATAACTTAAAAGACGTTAATAAGCCAATATTTATATAAATAAATAATTTAATATAAAATATTAAAAAAAAAATTGATAGATTATGTACAATAATAAAACTTAGAAAATGCTAAAATAAAATATATTTAAAAAAAACAAATTAAAATATTAGTTAAAGTTAACAATTATAAAAATTTAAATCATATGTAACTAAACAAAATAAACTATTAATATTTTTTTTTTATAGTTACGCTTTAAAAATATGTTAAAATAAAGATAAAAGCGGAATTACTTAAAACATTCAATATTTAATATTTGTTTGAAGAAGTTGACTTCCGAGGAGATGATCATGGAAATGAAGAGATCGGGCTTTTCCTCGTTTTTATTTAAACAAAAATGTGTTTTTTGAATAAAAACAATTTTTCTGCAACAAGGACAAGCCCGATCTCTTCATTTCCAGAATATTTAATAGCGGGCAATTACGGTGCAGTAATAACAGTTGAACAAAAATCCACAATTGAGGCTCGGCAGTCACACTAATAAAAAATATATAAAAAAAAAAAGCAAACGCTTGTCTTTTTCTTCTGAAGAGAAAAATTCCCATGATGAGGCAAAGCATCGCGTTTGATATATAATGAGCCGATCAAAATTCTAAACTCATTTCAAACCGACCGGCGGTCCTATAATACCCCATTGTCTGAGCGCCGTCATAAATTTTGACTTTTCATATCGTTTCCCTGGCTGAGCTCTTTTTTACTGCTTGACTGACGGACAGTGAGTCGGAAAGCGCCGGGGTTTTTTTTGCTTTATATTTGGCCAGGAATTTTAACTGTGAGACGCGAAAAAATCGTGACGTCCACATCAATCGCAGATTTATGTGATAGGGGAGTGTTTTTTTTCCGCGCAGATATTTGCGACCGCACACAAACAAAACAATTCCGTCTTGAAAATCGATTTGCTATTTCTTAATTGATTTATGGGCCGTTTACTGTAGAAAGCGCATTTCTGAAGTTCTGCGCATAGTTGCAAAATTATTCTTTTTATATTGAGGCATATTTTAATTTTTACTAAACTGGTTGACAAATGGTTCATGGAAATGCGAGTTTATTTGCATAATGAAGGGTCAATGAATGCCCGCGCAGTAATCTCACTTAAGTGCGGAATAAAAAGAGTCTCGGGATTCCAGTTTTTACGGGGACACTTGCTGTTCCTCGCTGCTGGAAGTCCGCCTGGGTGGTCTCAGGATAATTTGTTAGTACAAGAAGTGTAACCGGATTGATAATTAGTCCTCGCATAAATCATCGTTTTTGCAAGAAAAATTAATCACTGCGTTGGATCTGCGAAAGTTTTCTTATCTTTCTATTTTATCTCTACTTTAGAAAACATCAGACAAGTGAAATTCAACCAGTTTGATATTATTTGATATTAAAAATAATAAAGTACAGCAAAAATTAAAATAAATCATAAAAATGTTAGACAAAAACAGTCTTTGTGAAATCTAGGTATTTATTTTAAAAATACATTGAGGAATTAAAAAGTTAATAAAAAAAATTTAAGGACTTATAAAATTATCAATAATACTCGTTAAAAATTAATACTATAGGCTCTCCAGTCACAGATTTTAATTCCAAGACTTGGAAAATCTGGACCTATCATTAGCAGCAGTCGAATAAAAAATAATTTATTCGCTTGACGATCGAGCGTGAATATCAATAGAGGAGCCCTAATGAGAGCCTTGGACGGACAGAACGACCACTCGCTTTACTTATTTAATTTTAATCTCGGCTCTCACTCGCCGAGAGTATTTAATATTCCGAAGGAAAGAAAAAAATAACACGAGAGAAGAGTAAAAAAGGGATTGGCCTCCGACGGCATGATGACGGGGCTTGAGATTCTCATTCGGAATATTAATTCGGATTATAAACGCGGCGGATAAATTGCTATTGGAGACACAGCGCGCCTAACAAGCTCCGCTCGCTTATTTTTGTGAACATTTTTTTTACCGAAGTGCTCCTGCCGGAGAAAATTATGCAAATCGTCGTCTGCTGGCGCGCATGTGGGCACATCGGCTCTCATAATTCGGCCCGTACACATTTTAGGGAGGCGCCCTTTTCGGATTAATGAGAGCGGCAGCACCTCTCGCGCATTTGCAATTGAGATTCGCCGCCGCCAAACTCTCAACGTCGAGTATTTGCATAATTATCAGCCGCTGAAAGGGTTTTCATTTGCAAATCGAGGCCGTTTTTGTCGCGCAGGTAATTGCATAGGGGCTGCAGGTTACTTTTTAAATTAACAATTGATTGGGTAAGAATAAATTATACATTAAGCCAGAACTCAAAATTAAACAATTAATTAATAATATTTTAAGTGTGTTAAAATTTTAAAAATAATTAAATAATGTATAAAATTTGTTTTAATTTTTTCTTTTAAATATTAAAAAAATATATTAAAATTTTAAAGATTTATTTTAAAATTAATAAAATTACATTTCATTTTCAACAAAAAAATTAATTTATTAATATGAATTTAAAATTATTTCCAGGAAAACTATTTTTACAAAAAAAGTTTATTTAAATATGACTATCTGATTTGTAAAAATCTAGCTTCATTTACAATAATAATTTAAAAAAAACTTATTACGCTCATAAATGCATTTAATTTATTATTATTATTTTATAATGATTCAGAAGTATTGGTGAAAAGAAAAGGCATATTGCAAATAATCCTATTAGCAGTCTCAGTTTTTTGCTGGTACATTTAATTTGCAGCCGTGCCATTTCAAGTTTGGGGAGATTTAATTCGGCGCGTAGGCGCTGGCGAGAGGTGCAATTTAATTTGCATACGAATGTAAGTAAGTACCCACTGTTGTTACTTACTTTCAACAAGTGCTTAACATACACGCAACACACCCGGCCGCGTGGCGCGTCACCGCAGCTTCTGACTGCTTTTCTTATTCAACGAGAACGCAGGGCGTGTCGGGACGAATTTTCGATTCACTTTTTTTAGTGTCGCCCTTTTTCCCGTACACACCAGCGATTGCTCAAACAAAATCCATTGTTGATACAGAAGTCTGGTGAATTCGGGGCGCGGCATTTGTTTAAATAACGTGACAACTTAGACGAGTCCTTTGTAATGCAGAAAGAAAGTGTTTTATGATCTTATGAAGTTTCTTCTTCTATCAGGGCCAAAAGTGAGAAAAAATCTTAATTCTTTTGAAGGAATAATACAGAAATATAAATGATTTTGTATTCATTCTCCTGTTTGATGCTTTATTTTTCATTTCAAGTGACCTACATTATTAACTCTCTTCATTTAGCAACGGTGCTTTACAAGCCACTTAAAACAGAGTAAATTTGGCGTGATTTCTTTCAAATCGCTTTTAAAATACTATTGAACAGCCGATCTTCCGTGAGCGCGTGGCTTCTCCGCAGGAAACGCAAGGTACAAAAAATGCAACAAAAGTATAGTTTCAGATGATTCAAACGACAAGTCTTTTTTTCTATTTTTCCTCCCTGCCAATTCAGAGCATGTCGCCGCGCACAAAGCTAGAGCTCAACGGTGTCAAGTAAGCCAGCGGGTTGCTCTTTTTCTTCTTCTTGCGCTTGGAATTTTGTTTGAAGCGGTTCGAGCTGCTTCCGTAAGGGCTGTGCCGCAACCGACCAGTTGCTTTCTCTTTGTGTTTCCGAGACTCCTGATGCTGCACATGCAAACAATTTTTATCGTGAGCACTTTCAAAACATTTGCATAGCAATTACAAAAGTTGAATAATTTAAAATTTCTTTAAAAATCAATTCTGACCAATCAAAGATTTGTAATTTAATTTAAAAAAACATATTGGTTAATTTTTTTTTTAAATAATACAAAAAAACTGTACCTGTGAGAGTTGCTGCGCCGAGTTCAGATTCAATTCACATACGTCACAGAAATAATTTCTCAAGCTGGCTGGCGATTCCTCGCCAGGAACAACCGGTTCTCCAGGGTAGGGTAATTGGGGTGGAGGTGGCGGGGGTGGCATCAGGGCAGAATCTATCTGGCTAGACGTCATGAGAGGTTGGACTGGCGCCGGGACAGGCATTGGCAGGTTCTGGCTGTTGACCAACTTTGCCATTCTCTGTTTGTGTTTGTTGCCTGGAAAAGTAAATATTAATTTAATTTGTAATGAATTTATTTTTGTTTCTACCAGAAAGGTGGGTTTGCAGTTGTTGCGAAGAGTTGGCTTCGATTCCGCACGCGTCACATCTCAAGGTGGTGCTGCCCTTGGCGGTCAACTGACCGGACGCGGAGAGATCGTTGAGAATTTGCAGAGATTTGACCTTTTTGGCATGTTTGGCGCCCGTTAAATGCATGTCCAGTACACTCTGTCCCGAGAAGTCCATATTGCATGTGTCACATCGATAAAGCAGCTGCAAATTGTTTTACAATTTATTAGAAATGTGTGGTCAAGTCGATCCTTTGAAATTATAAAAAAAAAAATGCAAATGTAAACGTAGTTTTTGTCCCAATCCGGTCCTAATTATTTGTTTAATGAATCTATAAAAAACTGGACAAGTGAAAAATTGTTGAGAACAAGAGCCGGCCTTGACCAGCTTGTGAAGATTTGAGGATAGAAAGAAAAAATTCATTACAGGACAATTAAATTAGGATAATTTCTCACTTAAAATTGTTAAAATATAATTTTTCTTTCCAATACAAAACTTCAGCATTAATTAACAATACTGTCTCTGCTGATATGCTTGCCTGGTTTTTCTTGGTAGGAAGTTTGCCGAAAATGTTGTCCATCACTGCTTTTGTGACGGGATCAGACGAGTAGCCGAGGGTGGCGGTGGTGGTCACCTCGGTTGTTCTATAAAAATTTTGTCAGACCATTGAACTTTTTTAACAAATTATGATGTCACGTGTGTTGCTGGAACATGTGCGCCGTCGGGTACTGGATGTAGTTGTCTGTGGAGGTGTTGGCGCTGTACGGGTCATATGCATTCTGGGCAGGGGTTGCGGGGTAGTTCGGGGCGGGAACTGGCTGGGGTGGCTGCTGGAGTTGCTGTTGCTGGTAGTATTCCATGGGCGCAGCTGCAGAGGTGCAATCTGGTCTTTCGAACCTGAAAAAAATTAGAGAAATTATAAATTATAAAATTTATCTTAAGAGTCTTTTTTTGTATTAATAATTTTACTGTTTTTTTCTGGAAACTTAAACAAAAAATAATACACTTTTGTAACTCTGGGGATCCAATTTATCATAAATTATTAAATAAAGGTAATTAATGTACCTGGGAAGTACCAAATTACATACATAAATTAATTACCAAAATTAGATTTATTTCCATTTTTTAAGGCTAGTTATTTTTCTTTCTAAATAATCTTTAATTTTAATATAAATTATTTCAGAATTCAGACTAATGTTCTCCACAAACTTTGCTAAATTCCAACTGAAAATTTTGACTCTTTCTTTCTACCAAGTACCTGATTGCAATTGCACCTCTATTTGCCACTGCAGCTGCGTTGGCAGCCGTAAGTGGCAAAACTACACCTACGGGCATCAACCACACGCCGAGCAGCCTGGAAAAGTGTCGGCAGCCCCGTCTCAGTAGGTCGGTCTCCCCCCAAACCCCTTCTTGCCGAAAAGTTCAACACACTCAGGGTTGAACCCGCAAAGAGTGAAAGGAAAACCCAAAAGTCGGCAGAGATTGAGAGGCGACTGCGAAGGAATTCGGCAAGTTCTTCGGCATTACCTGTTGCGTTGTTGGCAGCGGATTCGGCGGCGACGATTTCTGAAATCAATCGGCAGGTGAGTCGGCAGGGTCGGCGAGAAGGTTTCGGCTTGTTTGTGCCAGGCACAAACAACAACAGCGCCATGCAATTTGAGATCGAAAATATATAAAAAGAAGAAGGATTGTGAAGGAAAAGGGGGCGTGGCCGCGGCTGGGCTCGGTCAATCCGCCGCATGCTTTTGTTGTTGTTTACCTACCTGCGGCGGCTCCGTAAACAAATTACCGACCGGCGTCCGACTTCAGTGCGATTCGGCCGCCGACCCGCGCGTCGACATGATCTCGCTGGTCGCCCTGGACGGCGAGGCACACGTCTGGAGTGCGGACGGTACACGAATATTGTGTTTTGTTGTGTTGTATTGATTTTTACGGCGCAAGAGACGACGAGGGACGTGCTCCGATTCCACCGCACGCTCGCGCCCTTATGGATTTTCCGCACCCCTTTCCTTTCTTTCCCTGGCGCCGCTGGTGCGCCCGAGGTCGCGCTCGGATTAATTTGATCCCCGTGCAGTGGCAGCCGATTTAATTAATCTGCTCCCTCCGGTTTTGTCATTAATTTTTATACATGCAAGCAAGATGAAAAGGAAAAGAAAATTATTATAAAACGAGAGCCTGCAGCACAAATCGGGCGAGAATGTGTCATTAAAACCGGGACATCGTTCACATTGTGCCGGGGATGCTTAGGATGACAAAGGGATTTAAATTATTCATGGCCTCCGAAAGAGAATCAAGCTTTTTTAATTTAACACTAAATTACATTTCGTGTTTTTTTCATTCCATTTCTGGATTTAATTTTTACATCACTGAAAACTAAATTTTTTACTTAATTATAATTTTGAATTTTATGCATCACATCAAAGAATAAATCGTAGAATTTTTTTTTTCATTTTGAATTTTACTTTATCTTCTTCTGTGTTATTTTTTAACGACAATTAATTAAATTTTAATTTACAGATTGGTTGACCCTCCGCAGAGATCACCGTATCTGTGGCCAACTGACTGGAATCCTGGCCGGCGTGTCTCACCAGACAAAGCACAACGGCCTTCCATTGGCACTTCTTCCAGAGGAAACGCGACTTTTGCTGCAGGAGAAAATTGCCAGACTCGTCGACTACGAGGCGCTAAGGCAAAAACCCTCAGGAGATCTGAAAGCCAAGTTCGAGGAGTACCAGAAGCATTGCTACCAAGAACAAGTGTGTCGTGATTTTATTCTCACAATGTAATTATTAAAATGAAATATTTCAGGTCAAATCCCATGAAGAGGAGCGGAAAAAGAAAGTCACGGAAATGGTCGACATCATTGTGGAGGGCAAAAGGAGAAAATTAATGGGGCTGTCGACAAAAAAAGCGAAACGACGAAAACTTGATAACTCAAGTTCTGCGGAGGTATGAATTTATTTTTTAATTTTTAAATTAGGTTCATATTATTTTAATTTAAAGGCAAGTTCCTCATATGCTGAGGAATTTGAGCTTCCGGACCGAGATTCCATCATCAAAGAGGAGCTGAGCAAAATTGTGCCGATCCCCGAAGACTCTGCCTTGGCCACAATCCCAACAGGTAGAAGCAGAAATTTATTACGAAACGTTGAGTTTGAAATAAAACGTTTCAGAGTGTCCTTGGCTGGACACAATGACACCAACTGAAATCCCGTATCCACTACCGAGCCGACGAATTGAATGGCTCAAGACGAAGACATTTGCCGATCTTTGGAAAAGAGGCTACTTCATTACCGCTGGCCAAAAATTCGGAGGCGACTTTCTAGTCTATCCTGGTAATAAATTTCAAATTTGTATAGAATTCAACTAATTTTTTATCAACAGGCGATCCTTTGAAATTCCACGCGCAGTACATTGTTACGTGTCGACTTCCCGAGGAGAGCATTCCTGCTTTAGAACTCATTGCCCTTTGCAGAGTTGGGACTTCTGTAAAAAAGGCTGTGATTCTCGCCACATTTGACACTGATGATGGCAACAGCGAGGAAGAAGAAACTGTCACTTACCAAACTCTCAACTGGGTGACCTGAATGAAAATAATTTCCGTTTATAAAAATTAATAACATTTAATTATTTAATTTAACGGAATGCTTTATTTTGATCACAAGTTGGCTATAAATTTTTAAGTTAATTTTCATTCAGTCCACTAATGCAAGCGTCCAGTTGATCTGCAAACGCTTCAAATGAAAAGTGCTTCTTCACCCTTTCTCGGCAATTGCGACTCAGGTTGTCAGCCTTTCCCCGAGCTATTTTAGCCATGGCTGAAGCAAAACTTTGCGCTTCTGGCGGACACAAGAATCCAGTCTGGCCGTCCAGCACTGTCTCTGTGGGGCCACCACTATTGACGGCCACAACTGGACGGCCCAGATACATGGCCTCGAGGGGAACAATACCAAAGTGCTCGTTTTCGGGGGTGTAGATCAGGGCTTTGCAGCTCCTCAGCAGCACCAATTTTGCTTCGTCTGAGGGAGAACGAAGCATTGTAACCTAGTTGAAGAAAAAACTAGTTAATATTGTTACATTAAGTAATTTTTTCCTTGTGGGGCTTACTTTTTCCTGAAGGTCATTTTCCTCCACCAGTTGCTGCAGTTCCTCAAAGTGCTGCAGATTTTCCTCGACCCGGACGTCGTAGCCTCCGGCCATGACCAAATGCACCTTGGCAAATGTGTCCTCGTCCAGGACCTTCCTCAAGTGGGCCAGAGCCAAAATGGCCAAACCTAGATTCTTCTTTCTCTCGTACCGGTTGATGGACAAGAAAACCACGGCGTCGTCAGGCAGGGTGACCCCGGTGACCTCCTCCAAAATCAAAGCGACCTCTGTGTCAAAGAATTTGGTGTTGAGCGACGGGTAGAGCACTTTTGGAGTGATGCCGGCCAAACGAGGAAAAGTGCGGGCGAAGACGTCCGAGGTGAACTTGCTGTTGACGAGCACCACGTCCGCCTGTCCAGTCGTTGTCTCCTCAAGCCAGTTCAGAGGGGCTCGGTACATTTGCTTCAGGTGGCCGCCTGGTTTGCTCAAAAGCTGGTCTAAGATAATATATAAGAAAAATTACTATTATGTGAAAATTTAAATACTTAAATTGTAAAGTATATTTTAAATTAATCAACATTTTGGTTCAAAAGTTTTCCAGTTTTTCAAAAATGGATAAATAAAAACCAAACTTAAAAATATTAAATCTCCTTAATTTTTTTTAGAAGTTAATTCTTGATTTGAACAAGAATCTTGCTCGCACCTGGGAAGTGGCAGTAAAAGAGGACTTTTGCCTTGCTGAAGGTCTTCAGAACCGGCACGCAGACGGACACCTGGTCGCAGAAAACGACATCAGGCTCAAGGTTGCTGAAGAAAACGAGGTAAAGGGCGGCAAAGATCATCCGCAGGTAGGCGCAAAGGGCGAAAAGGAAGCCGAAGACGCTCCTCGGCAGCCAATCGCCAGCCACTGTGACGTCCAGGGTGCCATCGCGCGTCTCGGAAAAGCAGTGACTCGGGTCGTGGTGCGAAGTGACAAAGTGCACCTGGTGACCCTTCAGCTTCAGGGCAAGACCGGCGTCCACAACCAGACGCTCAGCGCCACCGATTCCCAGGTCAGGGTGCAAAAATATAACCTTCACCTGAAATTTTAAGAACAATTAATTTTAATTAAAATAGTCCAATCCTTAACAAATAATTGTAAATCTTATTCACTAAACACTGAACAGTTAAAACTAAAAGCGTTTGCATGTTTTTATAAAAATATATGTATATTTTTATAATAAAATTATTTCGTACGAATACTCAAATTTCAATATGTCTGAAAACATTGAAAATATTTTATAGTATTTTTTACACATATTTTTAAACCGATCTAGTGAAGGGCCAGAATGGCGTTAAGTAATTACGTAGCTTTTTGCACATTGATCAATCAATGCACCTACCATGTTATTTATAATTAAATTAACTCAGATTACAATAGGTCTTTGCCGTATATATGCGATATTTAATAATGTATTAGGATATTTTTATTGAATTAATTAAATTTCAATAAAACGCCGAATTTAAAATAAATAATATAACACTATTTTTGTTAAAATTGATTTTTAATATAATTTTAAAATAATATATAAATAAATATAAATTTATTCTATTAAAAATTGTTTATTATTCAATTTATTTAAGACTTAAGTGGCTTACCATTATAATTGGAACCTAGAATTTGAATAGGAAATGAGATTATTGGACATTGGACAGTCCAAGTGTCCGCAAAAAGAAAAGTTACAACAACGCAAAGCAAACGTCAACAACCATCCATATGATCGTGTTCAGTGCCGGCGAATGGAATGATTTTCTGAGACCTCTGGCGGCTTTTTCAGAGTAATATAAGCTCACTCGATGGAAACGCGCGAATGCAGCGAGAATAGTAATAAAATTATTAATTTGAGGGCTTGTTCCAATTGATTGGAAGATTACAGCGATAAAATTGAAACAAATATCTTCATCATAAATAACAAAATACGTCCTTCAAAATAGAAATCCCAATTTAAATTTTAACTAGAAATTAAAAATGGGGTTTTGAGCAACTTTCAATGAAATTTTTCAGTGATCCGCGAATAAACATATCAGTCATATCACCAAATTTTAATTATATTTAAATATTAAATTCAAACGGTTCATGTATTCATGCATTCCTGATTATTGATCATAATAAACTGAAATAAAAACTAATAAAAATTTAACTCTGCTCACATTTAGGAAGTTTTTGTTATGCAGCAAACACTAATAATTAGGCGAGTGAAAGTGAAATCCCCGCCGCCGCCGCCTCGCTTGAAATAAAAGATTTTTCTCATGGACGAGCACAAAAGTCAGTCAGTTGTGTGGCCACGGCGCTGCTGGATTTCTAAAGTGCGGCGTTTCCCTTCTCCGTTTTGTGCTTTACCTTTTAACCTTTTAATTTAAAAAAATGTTTGTTGCTTTAAAACAAAATTAACATTCCTACGCATTAGCATATAAGATTTGACGTTACGTGGTTGTGATAAAGCATGCTGTGATCGAGAGGGAACAAAAATGATTCGGAATTTTCCACACACATCCTACCAGCCGTTGGGATCAATCAATGGACAAAACGGCAAACGCAAGCCAGCGTTCCTCGAAGAAGAAGATGGTTTAAATTTAGAGGTAAAAATAAATTTCAATTTAATTTTTCTATAAACCTATAGATTTAATTATCTCATTAATTTTCTGTTTTATTGTGTTTTATAAATAAGATTCAATTATTTGTGTTCTTCCTCAAATAAATAAATGAGGCATAAAAACTTATAATTTCCATGCAACTTTTGGTTTAACAAACTGTAGGCTCTCATTATAAAATTTCAAAAGCCAGAAATGAACACTTTCCTGCCTGATATTATAAAATATCCAAGATTCCAATGAAGCAGATCCTTCTCAAAATGCTTTTGCATACAGGTGTTCAGTTTTATTTCCTTTTCAAGCAAGTGAACTCTAATTGTAAGTGCAAGAACCTACTTTCATGCCTCCAAGGTTTTCACCGTGATGAAGGTGACTTTTTAATTATCACCGGCATGCAGTAAACGCATTCATGAATGTGCGTGTAGACGCCACGTGAAAGAATGAATTGATAATTATTTATATTCTATCGTGTCACGTGTAATTGGATCGCTCTGACAATGAAATCAAATGCTCTCATTTTTTAAAATTTTTAAACACAATTTTTAATAATACCTTAATTACAAGAATGCTTAAATTTAATAACCCTCATAAAACGTGCAGCACATTGAAAGGGTGCTGGTGTTTCTTAAAATTGCTTAAAATTAGGTGCAATTTTGCTGTGTTTGAAGTTTAAAATTTCGTAAAACTTTTGTTTTATCACTTGACAAAGAGCGGAAAACTGCAAATGAAAAAAAAATGCGTTGACATTATGATAAAGCCTTTTATGGCAAGATTATGCACGCTCGTGATAGTGAGAAATATAAAGTTAGCACTAAGCGTCAATAATTTTATGATTTGCTTGAAAATTATTAATATTTCAATTTCATTTATTTTCTTGAAGCAAGTCCGAAATTTATTAAACACTGGGGTTTGGCTAGTTCAATTAAATTGTATTTTAATTCTAAAAGTTGATTATAAGTTGTTGTTCACTGACGCATAAAAGTTGTTTTGCTGTTTGACAAAAAAGTGCAGTGGCCTTAACAACGTGACATTTTCCTGCTGGCACAGAATTGAACCTCACTCCACGTCTTCCCTGTACACTGCGTTAAATTTACCTATAAATGCTAAAGTGCCCGCCGCGACTTTCTAACATGCTGCGATGTATAGAGGATTTCACGTGATTTGATGTTTTTCCACTTGGATTAATTCGCGAAAGCCGTTGAAGAAACGACCGCTTGCTGATTAATGCGCTGTTTTTAATGCACGCAATGGATAAAAATATTTTCTCTTCACTGATCTTCATCCATTGCCACTAAGGCATTTAATAATTTTTTTTTCAAGGAGAACCAGCTCAAAGAAGTTAAAAAGTTTTATTAAATGAATTTATTTAATATTCAACGTGTTAAAGTTAAATTATATATTACAATTAATTAAAAAAATGCATTTTTAGTGTTATTTTAGTCAAGATTTATTTCAATAATTGACATTTTATTGACTTAAGAGGCGACATTAATCATAATATAATAATATAATAAGAAATGTATTCAATTTAAATTAATTATAACATTATTTTTCAGAATATATGTAGATGCTGCACTAAAATATATTGCTGTTGCTTCATCCATGTTACAAACTTGATGCAGCAAAAATTATTTTATTATTGGTATTGGTATAAATTATTCACATTAATCGTAAATTTTCATTATCTATTGAAAACAGTTGCGTGTGATTGTGTCTAGCATTTGATATTCCAATTCATTTATCACGCATTGTAATGTTAATAAAACTAAAATAGAAATGAAAGCAAAAAAAAAATAGCATAATTTATTTTTAATTAATTCGAAGTAATTATCTCCTCACTTATCACAACTTTTGTAAGTCATGAACTTGCATGCAAATCACCAAATTTGTCCTTTATGTCAATGGCAGGTCTTTGCCCCATCAGTTCCGGTGAATCCGGTGTGCATTGCATGCTGATTGCGGTATTGTGTTAATTTTTAAGATGTTGTGGCACTTGTGGCAGGAGTCCAGCCGGAGGAGCTCAACGTTGGTAAAAGTACAGTTAAGCCAAGCACTCTTCAATCGGCTCGCGCGGTGAGAGGGAAAATAAAAATTAAAAAATAAAAAATACACAGCGTGTGTGTAGCACTTGATCAATCCTCTCGCGACGCGCCGCGGCTCTGATTCTCGACACAATAACACTTTGTGTGTATCAAAGTTAAATTCAGTGACAGGGGCCGAGTCGAGTGTAGTGTGGCCTCCTTTGAACAACACGGCCAATCCATCAAGCGACGCGCCCTAATAGCTATACACGCGGATCTCTCTCTAAATTAGAAAAAAAATATTTATGTAACAAAATGTACATAGCAAAGCACGTGAATAAAAAAAGTAAAGATGGATTTTAGAAAATTAATTGAACTAAAATAAAATTTGTCACTGAAATTTGATTATTTGCTTCTTGAAGCTATAGAATTTAATTGCAATTGTTTATTATTGTTGATAATACACAATAACACATAAATTTTTAAATGTATGAGTATCAAAATAGTTTTATATTAGTTTTTATTTTTATTTTTAATTATCACTTTCGAATTATATTTTTATTATTATAGTTATTGTGAATAGAATATCAACCTTTTTTTAAAATAAATTTCAAAACAAATGTTTATTATTATTACTGCAATTTTTGTATTGATTTATGGCATGATAATATTACATTAAAAAAGTACTCGGACATAATAAACCCGCATTTGCAATAGAAATAAAATATATAGAGGAGAATTGGCATTTAAAAACCACCCAAAAGCATACTATAAACTGCACTTTGAAGGATTCAATGTCCTACGTCATGCCTACGCGTGATAATTGATTTTGACTCAACTCGCAGGGGTTTAATATGCAAATCAATAAAAATTCACTTTTCTTTCAAAGAAGCCCTTCGTATTTTCGCAAGAACATAGCCTGTGGAGAATAGAATAAAACATGTAAGATTTCGTGAAATTGCGTTTATTACGAGTGAAAATTTCTAATAAAATAACGACAAATTAAGCTCAAGCACCCGTCTTTTGTTTGGACGGAAAGGATAAAGGAACAGAACGCATGGAAGAGAAAGAATGATGTGGAAGAATATATATTTAATATGCAAAAACCCGTTCGGAGAGGGGCAAAGGCTTTTGAGCCGGCGGTGCGCTGTGCGCCTCTCTCTCGCCTCCCGACCGATGCGATCAGTCGGCCTGGCGACGTTGGATGGATGCTGTGTCTGTGTGATTCTGTGAGTGTGTCTGTGTCAAACATTTTCGTACGTGTTTTGGTTTTACGGCCCGCGAGTGAGTTCAGCAGGCCCCTCGCGCCGTCATCCGAATTAGTAGTGGAGCCGCTTTTGGTTCATTCGCCCGAGCCGACCGACACGAGATTCTCTTTTTGACAGTCCGCGCGTCAAATCGCACCTCGCCGCGGCCGCCACTGTGTAAATATTCCTCAAAAAAAATATAATCTGGTATTTTTCTGGTCCACCGACATTTAAATGCCTGCCATCCGCGCGTGGATTGAGATTTTTTAAGCTCAGAAAATTTAAAAAGTAAACTGAAGTAAACATGCATTATTTAAGTTCTTATTCCGAAGAGGATGTTATCTGAATATTTTAATCTCAATATTAAATAAGGGCGATTGTAATTTTAAGTCATTTTTGTTTTTGTTGCCTAAACTTTGTAAGTCTTATTTAAATTATTTGTACCATTTATTTGCAATACCAAATTGTTAATAAATTGCATTTTCCTTGTCAGTCTCATAACGAGAGACTTTTTGAATTAAAATTTATTATTTTATCTGATAAACTAGAAAATAATCGATCAAAAATGGATAAATTTATCAATAATTCGCAAACAAAAACGTAAATTTGAGTTTTATAAAGTTATGATAAAAATTTTAATATTAATTATTGTGTTTTATATCAATTTAAAGAATAAAAATCACTGAATTTTTACCTTTTAAACGTTTTCATTAAAATTTTAATTAATAATTATTACAAATTATTATTTAAAAAAATCTTGCAATTACTTAGTGATTTCTCCGGATTTCTCTAAACCTAACCGGCATTCAAGAAAGTTAAAATTTCAAAAACTGGGTAGCATATTTTCTGATCTCTATAAAAAATATTGCGGTTTTTATCTGTATTGTAATTATTTCACAACAATGCTGTTTTTTCATTATTTAATCGTCCAATTTCTGCTCAATTTGTCTATTTATCGTCTATTTATGTGATGCTGCCGGCTAAGCTATATAACCGGCCGCCTCGTCTCATGTCTCATGTCCATATATATCAAGTTTTATTGGCTCTCTGCTGCTGGTATGGAGGCTTCCGATGTGCCTGCTTGTTTGACGCTTTCCGCAGGAGAGCTTTTGTCAGACAACGGATCAAGTGACACAAATAATTGGCTCGTTTATATTTACATTCGTTTATTCCGCGTCTCGTGCTAAAAATAACGTCACGCGGCGGCCGGCGAGACACAAAACGCATTTACTCACACAATAAGCTCCCCTTTGCCACCGGCATCGATTAAGGGATGTTGTCGACGAGAGCAGTACAGAAAATATCCCGTAAAAAGGGGACATTCTCTTTATATCCTGTGCTTTTGATGGAAATTGGCACCGACTCTGGTCCAGCCAACCGGTTCTGCCAGAATCACGTAAAGGTTTGATTGCTGACGTGAGGTCACTCGAGTTCACCGCCAGAGAGATTTTTTTTTTATAATTACATTAAATTTTTTGATACATACATGTATCTTGACTGGAACGCTCGGATGCACGTTCAATTCTACGTATTGACCGGTCTTCTCACTATTTTTACCAAAGGTCAACTACCTTCTTGCTTGCTCTGCACAAAAGCTTTCAATTTTATGTTCTTGTTTTTATATGTCAGAGCGCGCAGTCATCTCCGCGAAGAGCGCGGATGCTGAAGTGATAGCGAACGAGAAATTTTACCTCATTCGTCATTCTGTAATCAAAGTCACGACTCTTGTCACTCTTTCATGACAGGGAAATTATAAGGAACTTGCCTTTCTCAAAAGGACGAACGTTCTGTAATTTTGGGTCAAAATTATTATAATTATTATGTTCGAATGACGCGATTTCAAAAGTTGCCAATGCGTTTCTAATTTAATGAGAAACAAATATTCTAATAAAAAAAAAATAGGCACAAGTGAACATATTTTGAAGTTTTCAAAATATTTTGGCAGACGTATCGAAAAAATAATGCTTGTAATTGAATAGTTTTGTTTTCAGTTTTTAGTCCCCTATACAAAGTTGAAATCAGTAAAAAAAAATAAGAATTGTAATATTAATTTAATTGAAGAAATTTGCACTCATTTGTACCCAAGCAGACGATCTTGAAAGTGAAGAAAACGGGCTTGTCCTCGGGGAAATTTTTTATTTAAAAACTTAACTGTTCTACATACCAGTTTTTGTCACGGTCATGAAAAAGAATTAAAAAAAAATACACAAAAAAGTCAGCAAAATTAACCAACCATTTTTTTAATAATACATCTTGTATAAGTCAGCGAGCAGCGCGTTTGCTCGTGAAATTTTGCACATGAATTTGGTTTGTTTTAAGATTTTCAATATTTTTGTTACAAAATAGTTTTTCAATATTGCTGATTTTCTTGCTCATGAAATAGGGTTGCAGATGCAGATCGTGATCAAAACAGGTAGAGTCGTTTGTTACTGTAATTAAAAAAATCAACCCTTTTAATTAACCCTGTTTCTACACTTTTATAATATTCGTAAATCATTTTTGGAATTTTTAACTCTTGCATGAAAATTAATTTTCTGGATCCATTTAAACGGTTCAGTGCACGTCACATATCTATCAACGTTATTATCTGCAGCAGTTTCAAAGACTTTGTATCAGACCAAGTGCAAACAACCGTGAAAAATCCACGCGCAAGTGGCAATTACTATAAAAATGTTTGCTTACGCAGGCTTCCCTCTCCGCGCAAGTAATCTCGTTCGCTCTCAATAAACAAGAACACTTAAATAAACACAAACATGGAAGTGCACAAGCATTTTTGTACTTTGAGCACGGAAAAAAACCCAAATAAAAAACAATAGATGAATAGATTTCAAAATAACAACAAAGATATGAAATTTACTTTCAATCTGGGCCAGAAATCAAATATTTTAAGTCAATCTGCGTCTCTTTCACGTACGCTATATATTTGAATTGCAACATTGATATATATTACTGACGCAATGAGACATGGGCAAATGTTTACACAAAGCATGACAAACTCTGGTCTACATCTTAAGTTATTTATGGATTGAAATTAACATTCCTTGCAGGTTTTTTGCTAGTTTTGTTTATTATTAAAAGGATCGCTTTTTATAAGAGTGCTGTGTTGCCTAAGAAAATATGAAATCCATTCAGATGACACACTGGCCATCTAAAATTTGCAATCTCATTGTCAGGCCATTAACTCTCTCGCCCCAGATTGCTGGAAGATTTTCAATTTGCTCCCATTATTAAATGAATTCAAATTTTTGCAACTGAAACCCAGATATAAATTTTGGTAATATTTAAATAATGAAACAACAGCGTTTTCCGCCAAAATTAGAAATTCTAATAAAATTGATAAAAATGTGCAATATTTTATTTAAATTTGTGTGCCGCATTAGAGAGAAGAAAACTTACGCCCTTATATCACAAATTTCCCGTTTCACGCGAAAGCGGCTGCTCCGATTTTGAATTATACCGGCCTTGAATGAATAAAATTTAGAAGTTTGATTTCCAGAGCAATTCTAAATTCCGGTTCGTGGAGTTTTTCCACTTGAGAAAACGGGATATTAAATTGCTCGTCGGCGCCACGTGATTTTTCATATATTTTTTCTCTTTTTTTTTGTCAGAAAAGTGCACAAAGCGCGGACGGTTTGACACAAAATCGGCGTGTTGCATTTGGCAGGCGGAAAGCAGGAAGCGACGCGCGCGGTGCCTATAAATGTAGGTTACTAGTGCAGAGGCGCGCTTTGAATTCGCCAGCAGCGACTTTTTCGAGCACTTGCTGCTGCAGGTGTATATTATTTTGAAGAAGAAGAAACGGCAAGTGGAGGTGCGCACCCCACCTGCGACACTCGCTGATATCGCGGCAGCCAGTCTTGCACGTCGCCTCACCAGAGCAACATGAGCGCGAGGGCGTCCGACGCCGGCTCGGCCCAGCACACGCCCAGGGTCAGCCTGGAAATGGGCACTGCCAGCCACGAGGTAAAAGATCCTGCGCACCGACACTCATACAACACTGATAAACAAGTAAAATAAGAGGTTTTTACACTTTCCTGCTTCTGAAGGCTTCTGTATGCGCTAAAAATAATTTTTATTTTATGCTTTTTGTTGTTATCGTAAAGCAAAGACAACAAGAGACAATTTTAGCTTTTTGGATTTATTTAATAGTATTAATAATTATAATTTTTTTTTTTATTATTCAAAGTATACATTAAACTAAAAACTTAAATTTTTCCTTAGCATAATTTTTTTTTATATAATATAATTATACGCATTTTTATTGTTAAAATAATTTATTTTTTATTTTTTAAAGCATACAAATATTCTTTTGCTTCTTTACTATGTTTATCTCAATATTCTCAATTAATTAATTTCGTTTATTCTGTCAAGAATAAAAATATTATATAATTCTAAGATTGTTCCATTGAAATGTTTAGCATATTAATTGGAATGTATTTTCCCTTGATGTGAGGTTCGGACAAAAAGAATTATTTTGAAGAAAGGGATTAAGTAACTAAAATTACTTCTAATTTTTTTCAGTATTACTAATTTAAAAAAATGCATTATAGTTAAAAATATATTGATTGAAATTTTTATAAGCATAATTACATTTATTTTTGTGTTGTGGAAAGTCCTTCAAAATGTGCTTAATAATTTACCATACCACCTTATCTTCTTGAAAAATTAATCACTTGGTTAATCTCTACGGTAAATTTTTTAGTCTCGTGGAGTTCTATCAATTTGATCATAACAAGTGCAAGGGTCTAATTTCAAGATCAAGAGTTTTAATTTTCTAACACCTCTGCTCTGACGTCAGCAGTCGAATAAAAATTCTGAAGTTGTGTTTTCTTTTGATATTATTTAAAAATCGTCTCCATCCTCCTTCCCGCACTTTAAAATTTATAGCAATTCATTTTCAAATTGTTCATGTGTGTTTTGGATTTTGGACAATTTAACTCTAAAAATAAAATTTAACTTGCATTTTGCCATTTCAAGAAGGCTCGTTTTCATTTTTACACAAATTACTTTCAAATAATTAAGTGATTAATTCGTAATTTAAAATAAAAAAGAGCTTTCCATAGCCAGAGTTCACTTTTTCGTCATCGTAGAGGTTATCGGCGTAAATTCCCACACTTTTGGCACAAGTAATTAAGCATGATTCCTGTGCGCGACGACGAAGCCAATATCCTGCTGGCTGTTCGTGTGTGTTGGGTGCACACGAGAGCTGCACGTATCAAATTTCATGTCCTGGGGGTCTTCGGATTAGAGTCCTTAACCCCGAGAAAAATCACCGACAGGATTTTTGCTCGCGCTCGTTTCGTGCGAGGAATGCACGAGAGTGAACAAAAATATTATTTTTCCTCGCGTCTCGAGAAAAATATTCAAAACATGTTGTCAGGTGCAGAGTACACGTGTTTTTAATTTACAAAAATCCCACGTCGTATCGCGCGCCGAGAGAATTTTCATCGGGCTTGTCACATTTGATATGGAATTAAAATAAAAATCCCACCGCGAGAGTGATATTCGCTCTCGGCGGGCAGAACAATGAGAGTTTTATCTATCGCAGCACGTTTGTTTGCATATAATTATCTGAGTGAGAGCTGATTAGCCTCGTACCTTTTTTCACCTGCAAGCACCAGTATTTTATCAAAATTGGCCCTTGTCTGGTAGAGAGTAAAATTTAAGCAAATTAAAGGATCAATCATTAAAGATATTGCAATTCTTTAATCACACTTTGACTAATGATTAAGCCTTCCTCCGCCGTGGACCCTTAATTGATCGCAGTTTTTGAAGATTACTTTAATGATAGTTTCAAAAGATAATTATAAATTTTTGATATTTTCCACCTAACATTAAGATAAAAAAAAAAAAAAATAATATAGAGCAAGCTCTGAACTGCAAGGAATATATAAATTATTCTCCTTCAGAGTTTTACGGTTGCTTTTATTCCAATTAAATAATCACCAGCATAATAAATCTTTTGTAAAGTAACATTAATAAATTAGTCAAATAATTATTGGAATCAATTTTAATTTTTAATCCTACGTATAATTGAATCTAACTTATTTATCATGACCAAATAAAATAGTGAGAATCTCACAACTTCTTAACAAGAAAAATGATTTTATATAAATTACGATAAAACACTTAACTGCAGTTATTGTAACTTGTGCGTGTTGCCAATTGTGGAAATTTTTGCGCAAAATTTTTATTGAATAATTTTCTTTATTTCCCTGATTTAATTAGACATGATTTTTTTCCTTGTCAATTTCAGGACTTGCTCGACGACAAGCGACCGGTGGGATGTTCGCGGAAGGCGCTGCTTTTGACCGGAGGGTTGACGGCCGGCGTCATCATCATCGTAGTCGTTCTCATTGTGACCCTCGGCGGTATCGACGGCGGCGGCAACTCCGAGGAAAGCAAAGACCCGCGGCCGGCATTCACCCTCGATGATTATCTGAGCGGGCGCTTCTCGGCGGTGCGCTTCAACGCAACCTGGGTGTCGGGTGAGCAGAAAAAAAAGATCAAATTTTATTCCTTCCGCGCCCGCGGCTGAGGATGAGATGATTGCGTTTTTTGCTTTTTTGCACCTAACGTGTTTTTCTTCCCTCGCCTGCAGACACGCGGCTCATGTTCAGCAACGCGGAGGGCGAACTGCTGCTGCATGACCTGTTGACGAACACAACCGAGACGCTTCTCACACCCCAAGATGAGCCGAAGCTCAGTATCAGTTTCCTGCAGCAGTTGTCTGCCGACCAGCAGTTCCTTTTGATCGCATACGATTACCAGAAGGTATATTGAGAAGCTCTTTTTTGTAAATTTTATTAGAGTTTGATAACGTGCATTTTATTATTATCAATCAAGAAATTTTTATGTAATTTGATAATTAGAAATATTTTTAAACAGTAAAAGGGGCCAAAAATTTAAATTAATAATTATTATATTCTTTTTTTATAAATTTTATTGTTAAATAATTTAAACTTAAAATCATTAAAATTATTTAAAACTTCTGTATTCATTTTACTTAATTAAATTGGCTAAAATTTCTTATTTAATATTCTCATAAACTTGAAAGCGCTTAAAACAAAATTTTTCTCTAAATTTCAGCTTTTCCGTCACTCATTTTACGCCAATTACACTGTGATCAACTTGAGCACAAAGTAATTATTAATTTCCTTCTGTTGCCTTTTTGCTCAAATTTTCAATTTTACCACTAAAATCTTTCAGAGTGTCCACCGATTTAATCGCCCCCGATGGCTCGAAACGACTTCAGTTAGTCAAATGGTCGACGGTGGGAAATGCGTTGGCCCTCGTCAGGACCAACAACATCTACTACATGAAAACGGCAGCAAACACTGAAATGATTCAACTGACGAGCACTGGATTGCCCAACATAGTTTACAACGGAGTGCCTGACTGGGTTTACGAAGGTATAAATGCAGATAATTTATTATGTTATTAAAATTTAATGAATAAACAGAGGAAGTGCTCGGCAGCAACGACGCAATGTGGTTCTCGCCAGATGGCAACAAATTGGCGTACATGACCTTTGACGACACTAATGTCAAGGTGATGACGTTCCCATACTTCGGACAGCCGGACAACCTCGAATTTCAGTACTCCATCAACGTGAACATCCATTATCCCAAGGTAATTTATCTATTATTCATATTGTTAAGTTAATTATAAAAAAAAAATGAAATAATAATTAATAAACTTCAGCCTGGCTCTCCCAATCCGACCGTGTCCCTAAACGCAGTTGACCTCACAGTGGAAGGAAACACAACTCCAGTGGTCATGGCACCTCCACCAGAAGTTGGAAGGTGAGCTACGAATACTTAATTTAAAATCCAAAAAATTATTTATTTTGTAAAATAGCAAAATTTTCGAAAGCAGAAAATTTAAATAAATTAGAGCTAATATTAAAAATTAAAACTTTGAAAACTTGATGAAATAAAATGCTGCAAAAAATTAAATTTAAATATTTTTGCAATTGATTTTTAATTTTTAAAAAAAAAATATACATCAAATTTGAGTATGTTTTTTTAATTATAATAAATTTAATGTTGATTTAATTAGTGAGCCAGTGCTTGCAACTGTTACCTGGTCCAAAGTGAACGAGTTGGTGGCCGTGTGGATGAATAGAATTCAAAACAGATTCATGATCACCGCACACGAATTTGCAAACGGATCTCCCCTGACTGTAAATCTCAATACGTGTCCGCATTTAAAAAATTAAAAAAAAATCTTTTTAAAAGATCATGGATCACACGCAGCCAGATGGTTGGGTCGACTTGTTTGTTCCTCCGACGGTTTCGAGCGACGGCAATCGCATCCTCGTCATCCACCCGCACAACCAAGGCACAGCTGGAGACTTCAGACACTTGACCCTAGTCACGAGGGACCCTATTAAGGGCACCAAGGCCACGATAGCCCTTACGCAAGGAGAGTTTGTCGTCACAAGCATCGTTGCCTGGGATGAAGCCAACAATAAAGTGTAAAAAATTTAATCTATTATTTTTTTTTAAGTAACCATTTTTTCAACTGAGCTCAAATTTTCCACATATTTTTGTAATTAATATAAAGTTTATGGTCAAAAATATTTTAACTCAAGCTTTTGATTCTTTATTTTTATTACTAAATTGCAGATTTTTCCAAGCAACAAATCCCACCGACCCTGCCCAACTGGGTTTGTATACTGTGACCGACAACTTGGCCCTGCCAGAGCCTCCTACGTGTGTTTCCTGCGGGGTCAAGGTGACCGAGACCAGGCAGGCCTGCACCTACGTGTCCGCCTCGTTCAGCTCGGACAAGTCGTACTACAACCTGAACTGCAATGGCCCTGATGTGCCCGGCACCCTCATTTTCAAGAAGGTTTAATAAAAAGATAGTAAAAAAAAAAAAATAGGCTGGAAACTAATCGCTTTTGACAGAATGGGGAACTGGTGACCACGTGGGAGGACAACAAGAAACTGGCCGACTTCATGGGCCAGCACTCGGGGCCGACGAAAAGGCGCCTCCGAGTGCCCGTCCCAGGAGGCTTGGAGGCCTACGCCCAGATGCTGCTGCCCCCTGACATGGACACTTCTGGCAACACCAAGTACCCCATGCTGGTCAATGTGTAAGTGTGTTTAAATTACTTCATATTTTTCTGACCAAAAGGGAAAAACTTGTTTAAAAAACGAGTCGGCTAAAAACATTTCTACATATTTGTGTCCTTATTGAATTAAACTGTATCAAAGCCGGATGTAAAAAATTTTGACAAATATTTAATTAAATTTAAAACAGATGTAAAATGTAAATTCGAATTTTCAAAATGCTTGTTTTTTGCGAGCCATTTTTTAGGAAAAATAAATCATGTTTAAACGCTCTGTTCAGGTATGGAGGGCCTGATTCATCGCAAGTCTCGGACCGATTCGTTGGCGACTGGGGCACCTACTTGACGACAAACAGGAGCATAATTTATGCAGCAATCGATGGACGCGGGTCTGGACTCAAAGGAAACAAGATACTTTTCTCCGGTTACAAACGGCTCGGATCAGTTGAGATCGAGGACCAGATCAATGTGACCAAGTAAGATTTTTAAAAAAAAAAATCCATAACGCTCAATCACGAAATTTTGAAATCAGGTATTTGCAAAGCCAATTCCCATTCATCGACTCAACTCGAACCGCAATTTGGGGTTGGAGCTACGGTGGCTACAGCACAGGAATGGCCCTGGCCAAAGACACATCTGGTGTGTTCAGATGCGGAATGTCGGTTGCCCCAGTCACCGACTGGATTTATTACGGTAAATGTTGCATTTTCAAAAGCAAAAAATTAATGATATCAAATTTTTTAACAGATTCGATTTACACGGAGCGTTACATGAGACTACCAACAACAGACGACAACTTGCTTGGCTATCAATTGGCCAATTTGAACAGAATTGTGGACAATCTCGGCCGGAACGAGAACAGGTACTTGCTCATCCACGGAACAGCCGATGACAACGTCCACTACCAGCAGTCCATGATATTGTCCAGGACTCTGGAGTTGAAGGACATTTTGTTCCAACAACAAGTAAGATTGTATTTTTGTCCCACGTAGTCAGAATAAAAAGAAATCGAAATAATTTTTCTGCAGAGCTATCCTGACGAAGCACATGGCTTGAACGGCGTGTCACCGCATTTGTACCACACGCTGGAGAACTTTTTGGACGTTTGCCTGGACCTGCCGCCGAGAACGTGAACAAAAATTTTGTGCTATTTTTCTATTGTGCCAACTGTGAGTGTGTGAATTCAGCCAGACAGGGAGATTGAGTTATGCTTATTTTAATTAATCTTATTGATAAATAAAAACGTTTTAAGAAATATTTGAAAACTTTGGCATTCGCTCCATTAATTCCTTCAGTAAAAATGTAAGAGGTGCTTGCGATTTACCAACATTCGTAATTTATATTTATGGCTTGTTTATTCTCTATCATTCTAAATAAATGAGCTCACAGTCTTCAACCACAAAAATTACCTATTCAACAGCATATTTGAATTTCCCCCGCATGTGGTTTGGCAGAGGACAAACGGCTGGACACGGAACTTGACCAGGCATTTCACAGATGCAGTGTCGCTGACAGCCGTACCCAAAGTTAGCCTCGTTGTCCTTCTTCTCTTGGGCGATTGCTTCTTTAGCAAGAAGTTCACTATAGAATAGTTTCAATCATTGTAAGATCAGAAATAAAATTGCTTTTGTAAGTCCAACCTCGATTTGCAAATAACTCTCTGGAGGTGGTCCTGAATTTCTTCTTTGGTTTTGCCATCAATATCTATTACAACGTCCGCTCCGTCTTCTGTAAAAATTGAGGAATATTGAATTTTAAATCTCTCTCATAAAGGAGGTAAAGAAAAAAGAAATTATCAATCATGGGAAACTGTTGAGCACAATTTTTAAAATACATGCCTAAATAACATCGGATGAAAGGCGACGGGGTCATATTTTTGAAGGTTACGACTTGAACGTGAGGATTTTTATACTGCACTTGAGGGAGATTCCAGAAAACAAATTCCCTGTAAAAGATACGTTGGAAATGTTTAATAAAGACAGCACAAAATGCGGCAAATGTATAAGATCAAACCTTGCTCCTTTGTGGTGATCACCGAGTCGATTGTAATGCACCGAAAAAACTTGAACTCTATCCTTCAATACTAATTTACCCGACTGTAAGTAATTAACAGTTCTCCTAATAGGAGCTATTCCTTTCATAAACGGCATTTTAGTTCAATGTGAAGGAAAATATTAACTGTTCAAGATGCTGAAATTCGTCCACTACAAATAATAACAAAACTCAAATTACTGTAATCAGTGGTACCAACATCACAAATCGTCTTTTTTTAAATAATGATTATAATAGTTCCATTATTGTTATGTCTGTGCGAATTATTTCAATTGTATTTTAAATTAATTTTATTGATTTCTACCATTTATGTTTATGGTTTTAATTTGAAGTTTTCCAAATATATGTTATTGCGTTTCAAGTAACACATTGTAATAAATCAAAGAGGAGTATAGGAAGCAATAATAAAATTTTAACATTAATTTTTCTGAATAATTTATTCCTATTTCATTGAAACATTTTAGCACTTGAATCTTCAAACATTATAAAAATAAAGTTGAAATCGAATTTTAATTTGGCAAGCAATCTCTATGCTATGTTATTATCTGGCCACGACACGCGGCGAATCTGTTGAGATTGGTGTGAGAAGGGTTCTCTCTGGTAAGGTAGATTTGTCGGTCATCGAACTGAGTGAGAATTCTACCTCTTTCAATTTCCGCTCAAGATGCATGTGTCTGTCCTCGTGCTTGTGGAAAATCTTCACTTTGATTGCTTCGAAAAGAGCATCCTGTGAGAAAATTAATTAGCATTTGTCAGTTTTTATAGCAATATTTTACTGTACCATCTCAGTCTTGAAAGAGTTCCGAAAGTTTGCGCAGTCCGGGTTGAGCAAAACTTGAACTCGAGCCTGCTGGAGCAACAGGTCGATGCACCTTTTCAAGGCTTGTAGGGTAAGTGCTTCGTCTGCTAGAGCAATCTCAGGTTCGCTGAGCCACATACTCCGAGAATAAGTCTAAAAATGAAATGAAAATTTTCCACTTAAATCTCATTTCGGTAACTGCAAAACCATACTTCTCTGTGATGTATGAAAAGTGGGCAGTTGAAGGCAAAAAGCAGAAGATTGCCGAACGCAATTGATGGGCTTAGTTGGTGGTCGTAACAGTGGTGCAAGGAGAAGCTGTCAAGGATGACAAGTCTACTCTGCCTCCAGTCGGAAAAGAGGGTCCGTCGAGACAGCTGGCCAGACGGCTGACAAACACTAAGGAGACATTGCAAGCACCCATCAGTCAACGACATGAGTCTAGAAAAATAATTAATCATTTATCCATCAAGGAACAAATTTTATATTACAGATTGCTTTTTTCGTTGACGTATTGGAAGGGTTCTGGTGGTTCTGAAGGCGCATTTGCGAATTTGTCCAGGACCAGTTTTGGTCTCAAGATGAATATCATGCTGAGATCCAAGCAGGCAATTACTCCAGTCTATGGGCAAAATGTAACTTTAATTTAACGCGGAAAAATGTCGCAACGAAGAAAACCGACTGTGTAGTCTTGGAGAGCCGATTGGTTTCGCCAAAGCTGTCCCGAGAGTGCAGCTAACAAGTAGATGGTTTCGGAGGCAATCAACAATGTTTTCCTGTCTTGCATGGCTCTCAAGGCAATCATCATTGAAATCAAATGCGCCCTGTGCTCTACTAAAAATGTGGCCAACTCTGTTTGGAAGAGCTGCTGATTTGTTTTTACCAAAGCACTGGCCAAGTGCACGCCTTGCTCATAAACTTTGTCCCAGGCTTTACTTTCTTTGCTGCCAGCCTAATAAAATTGTTCTCAAATTATTGTATTATTATTTCAAAACAGAAAAATATCCTTACCATGTCAAGCTTTAGGTCAAGCAAAGCCATCCAAATCAGCTTTAAATTTTGTAAGCCAAGCAGAGGCGCCAGGACTGGATTTGAGGCGACTGCAGCCAATATTTTCAAAATTATCTCCGGACATAAAGGGCTTTTCTTTTCCTAAACATGTGAAAATAATATATGCATGAGCCTCAATAGATAGATTTGAATTTTTACCTTTATCATTGCAATTGCATCTTTAGTCAAGCAGGAGAACATAAGTTCTGAACCAAAGTTGAAAAGCTTGTCGCCAGCAAGTTGTAGTAGACGAAGAGCCAGGACGTAGGTCATGGTTTCACCGCCCTTGTGAAGACCCAATCGTCGACCTTCCAGACTTTCCTTGCAGAGCATTTCACCAACGTAGGAGTCAAAACCCAGTCTGTTTGCTGTAAATTAACATGTGTTAAATTAAAAATGAAAATAAAATGTCGCAATACCTTGCTGCGCGTTGAATGCATCGGAAGAAAGACTTTTAGCCAAGATTGACAAGAGCGTTGTTCTGGTCGCTGTCGTCAAGTACGAGTATCTTCTGCTTGATAGTTCTGCTACTTTAACTACCTTTTCAACAAATTTTTCACCCAAATCTTTGCAGCTGAAGCAAGAAAAAAATATCAACAATCGAAACTTGAATTATCTAGACTAATTTATACCTCAATGAGGTGGTTAGTAAGTGCAGTAGAACTTGAGCAGTGAGGGATGTGTGAGAACTTTTGCCGGATTCTGCCATGCTCAGCTGCATCAAGTCAAGATATTCATCAATTAATTCAGAGATGCAGTGTTCGTCCAACAAAGTTCTTCGTTTCTTCAGAAGTGCAACTAGAAAATTACTCCAAACTCTTGCCAATGCATCAACGTCGGGCGTTTCTTTGTCAACGTTTTCTTTCAACTGCTCCACGACAAACTAAAAACAAAACACATATTATGTAAAAATTGATATATGATTCAAAATATTAATCAAAACTAACTTTATTCCATTTGAGAAGTCTGTCCTGTGCAAAAGTCTTAAGAATTTTGTCTAGTTCTTCAGGAGGAAACTTTGGACGAACTAATTCAATGTAGATTACTCTCAGTAGCTGGAGATTTTGCTCGTCATTGGTTCTGCAAATGAAATCTTTAGTAAAAAGTAAAAAAAGATTAGAGGTTTCAATTACATTCCGTGATTTATTAAAGGAGTGGTGAATATCTTCCAGAAATCCTTACTATTGACAACACTCTTAAGGATGTAAAGAACTGGCGCCCCCCAGCAAGCCTGGCAGAAATCAACTGCCGCCTTATAGACAGGGCAGTGAACCAAGTCAGGATCCTCAGCTGCCTCATTCAAGGTGCTCAAAACGAAGTCCAAGGTGTCAGATTTGGCTCCCTCAGCCGGGAGTGCTTGCACCTCCTGATGAATAAGGATTTTTTAAAAATTAAAAAGTAGCAGTCTATTTAGAGCCAACTTAAAGATCTATGATATCAACATAAAAAAATTAAGAAACTGAAATGGCTTTGATTTAATTTTTGGCTTTCAATTGATCAGTGCACATTTTATTTAAATATAAAAATACCGACCTTCTCTTTACTTTGCTGTGTGAACATGAGGACAAGAAGAGCCGACTGCGTTTGTGTCTTTACACAATTGGTGAGCAGGTCAAGTAGCGCTGCCCGTAGAGGTGGATATGAATCATGCGCCAGCAAATGCATCTCAAGGGTGTTTCGTATCAACCTGTCCTCCATTCTCAAGTAGAACCTGAGCGAAACTGGCAGAACTTCAAACACCTGCTGCAAAACCTTTACGGCCAGCGTTGGTAGGTAAGGATGTAAGCGAGACTGAAGGTAAAGGCTGAGGCGGAAGTAGAAGTTGTCTGTCTCGACCTGGTGGCTGCTGCTGAGCTGCTGAAGAAGGATGCAGTCTCTGCTGCCAACACCCTAATGTTGATGAATATATGATGCATGGTTTTATAAAAAAACTTTGAAAGAGTCACCAAAACTATGTGTCTTCTTCGAAGGACTTGGTTGAGTAGTGAAAGACTGAGTCTGATCTTCAGAAGCAGCCTGGTTGTTCTTGAGGCCAGAAACGAAGGTTCTCTGACCATAATGTTCTCAATGTGATCTTCGCCTGAGGCAGCGAGCTGCATCAGACTTGTGCTTGCCTTAGTTTTAAGCAAACACTCAACTATCAATTTCTCCCAGCTTTTTAATAACATTTTGTTAGAAATCCCTTTTAAAACTTATTAATTAAATAAACTCACCCATCTCCCTTGTTAAGAAGAGCCTGAAGGAACTGCAAACACAGAACTCCAATTGTTTCTTCATCTCTCGGTCTTGGATACAACCATTCCGAGTGTCCAGGGAAAATATTCTGGCTGACTACCAACATCCCAGCAGCTAAGACACTCACACATGAAGATTCCTTTGTTTCCTCCTGTGGAAAGAACGTTGATGAGATATTTTCATTACTCTTGTATTTTTCTCTACTTTTGTGAGCTGAATCAAAAACCGAAGGTAGGCTCTAAGTAAGGCACTCATGGCAGGTGCAATGTGCATTCCAAGAAGAAGATGCTGCCAAACGCCATATTCCACTTGGCCTTGAAGAGATGGTGGCCCAGGGCCTAACCAGCAGGGCACCAGTCTTGTTTGAGCGGCCATCTCGCAAACTCTACTACGATGAGTGTTTAGTAAAGCTCGTAAAATCTGCAGTCCTTCAGCCAAAACTTCAGCAGGGGGCACACTCATATGACACGCACTAGTTAAATCATTTAAATAAGTAAAGAAAAATATCAGTAAATGATAATTACATTTCTATGAGAAGGAAGGATTCGTGGATGACATTAGTCATATTATTATCATCCAAGTGACCTTCTTTTAAAACAGTGTGGATGCATTTGAGGATCAAAACTGCTTTTTCCAAGTCACAGTTTTGACTTCGTCTCAACTGAAATTAGATTATATCTTCAAAAACTTTATAAAACAATCAAGGCCAAACCTCAGAGTTAATTTTGACAAGCTGATTATAGAGGGCATCCCAAAAGTTGAATCGTATATTCCAGTGAACCAGAGGATGTGAAGAATTCTGATGGGAAACAACTCCCTGCGTCCCTGCAGGAATGACCAACAGTTTATCCATCACTGACATGTCCTCCATCAGACTGATATCATTATCCTGACCAAGTTGGACACTCAGATTAATCAAGCTCTTCTCTTCGGTAAACATATCCATTTCTGATATTATCTGCAGCATCTATACGAAATTGATTGTTACAACAAATTCAGTTATGAACCAAAAAATTAAAAATACTTGGTCCAATTTTTCTGCTTTCGCAGACGCTCTCAAGAGATGCATTATAGGTGGAGAGAGGTGAGGAAAATAGTCAAGGCTAAGCTTGAGCAGCGCTCGCAAGGAGCATTCTTGCTGTTCCCAAAAGGCACCTGCAGTGTCTGGGTGACTCAAAACTAGGCCACATGCTCTGAAGAACATAGGAAAAGTGCTGAATCCGGTGACGTAATATCGCTCTACCATTATGTCCAAAAGCTCGAAAAAGATCTTTGTTGTTTTTGAAATGACCTCAGTGTCTCCCTGTGTAAACAAAACTTCAGTAATTTTTACAAGCAATTTGAAAGATAAATACAGAATCGTTGATAGTCATGAGAATTGTATGGATAGCTTCGAACTGGTTTTCCTCGAATGCAGACATAACGAGAGCCATAGCCTCTTCTTCGGCACCAGTATAGAAAGATGCATTGTATGCTAACTTCATGAGCCCTCCAGACTTGCTGTCCATTCCAAAGATTAGGTCTTTTAGTTGGTTTATTGCACTCTTCTCTCGGACCAACTCACTGAATGAAGATAGACGTTGATTATATTTTCGACAAATGTTCAGAAATGTACCTATTTTCAATTTTTGGCAGCTGCAAAATAAGGTGGACTATGAGGCTTGTTTGGCTGCATTTCAAAATTGAAACAAGGTTCTTGTGTCTCTCACTGGACATCTGTTCTGTGAATTTTCTCTCCTGAAATGACAATTTAAAACTTCTGCAGAATATAGCAGATTTTTTTTAAGTACCCTGAACAAGTTGATCAAGGCCAAAACGGTTTTCACTGGCACAGGTCTCTCAAGAAACAGAAATGCATGGCACAAAATGACCCTGCGAGCCAAAACAGATGCTGTCCATTCGTCATCCAAGCTGCTGATGGAAGGTGTCGATTCTTCTTTCAGGGACACCATCTGCTCCATCAGTTTCTCCACAACGACAGTCGCATCCAAAGTTTTAACAAAATCGTCCAAAATTGTGTAGTAAGGGTGGTTCTGAGGTCGGGAGAGGACAAGTTTCAAACAGTGCAATAGATAGACTCCTTCGCGCAGAATGCACGTCCATATGTCAGCCAGGAGGCCTGTTTTGAGCACAGTGTCGGTCAAGTAGCGTTCGATTGTTCGACCTTCACCTCGAAATTGATACATGAGATATTGCTCCAGCATTTTATGAGCAACATCTTGATCTACACACTGAAAATATTTAAACAAAGAGTAAGTATCTAATTCATAAACAAAACTTTTGAATTAATTACAATTGTGTCCGAGATAAGGTCAACAAGGGCTTTGACATTTTTTGATTTTCCCAGGCTCGAGGTTGACGATTTTTTTCCGGTACCACTCTTAGATTTTTTAAAACACAAAACTCCATTCAACAGTTGATTTTTGTGGGATTCAAGCGCATGCTTTACACGCTCTTCTTTTAGGACAATTCCGGTAGCCGACAAATCAGCCCACAACTCTTTGCAGTTCCTAAAAAATTTAGTTTGAAATTAAGCAATCTCAACAAGCAATAATTATTGGACTTCAAACTTACTCGTAAGATTCCATCATGATCAAAACAAAGTTTCAAATCGGACAGCCTTTGAACAGAAGGCCAACAGTGCATGGGCGCGAATTTTCCGCTCTCTAATCCGCTTCCGAGTGTTGTAGAATCATGTGAATTGTAATTCAACTGAAAAAAGGATCAAAATTTTGAAAAAACCCCTAGTTGAGCTGAAAGCAGATTAAAGAGTTTAAAATTTAAGAAATTCTGCCAGTCGCAAACGTACCGGCTACTTTGGGCCATGTTGCCTGTTTACATTTTCGTCGTTTTCAAATCAGCATCAGTACCAACAGCTGAAAATTTAATTTCACTCAATCATATCCATTTTGCAAAGTTTACGTATTACGTAACATAAAAATACTCATTTAAACTTAAAAAAAACTAAAATTATAGTTCTTTGAGTGTCCTCCTTATAATTTGATGCACAGTTGTTTTATGTAATAAACTTTATCATGTTGGCTTAACAGCTTCTCTTTCCATTTCCATCATTTCCATCCTTCCAACCTTTTGTAAACAATAATGGCGGCAAAAACAAAGGCCTTGCCGATGAAGTCGCCGGTTTTTCAAGGGTTTTTCCGATATTTCGGCTTAATTTCTGCACTGATTTTGAGTCTATATGCACGAAATGCAAGCGGGTTTAACTTGGACGATAAATTTGAAGAAGAACTTCTTATAAAACCACTGAACAACGATTTTGTTTACGCTTATTTTCAATTCACAACCACTTGGAATGTACCATTTGAAGCCCAATCTTGTATGTTTAAGTGTGACTAAATTCATGCAAACAATTTTTCTTACATTCCTCATTTTCCAGTTCAAAATTGTCACCTCTTTCCCCGAGTCTTGGGTGAAGTTTTGGGGCAGTACAACGTCCAAGAGCTGCATCTCAGTTTGACGCAAGGGCTCTGGAGACATGAAAAGTATGGTTACCCAGTGCTGGACGCCCCGGCTGGAACAGAGATTTGGGCTTGGTTCAAAGAGGGAACTAAAGAGTAATAAATTAATCAAATCAATCATGATTAACTTCTGACTAAATCTTTTTTTTTATAGTGTGAACAAATCTTGGAAAATGTTGACCAGCGCTCTGTCCGGCTTATTTTGTGCTTCACTAAATTTTGTCGAGCCTCTGAATACCTTGAGCCCTAACCTAAGCTTTGCTCCAACTGGAGCTGTTTCTTCTAACCTGTCTTCAAACTCGTCACTGCTTCGGTACTCTACTCTGCCGAGAGAAGTTGTCTGCACTGAAAATCTCACACCATGGAAGAAACTGCTACCTTGCGACTCTAAAGTAAATTTTTTAAATTTTATTTTTCCTTTTTTAAATGGTTGAAATATATAGAGAGGACTTGCAACTCTATTGAATGCTGGCCATATTTACAACACCAACTACCATTCTTTGGGAATCCATGTTCGGCCTATTTGTAGGGTAAGATGAAAATTAAAGAAAAACCGAAACTAACACCAAAAAATACTTAATGATTTATATATTTTAAAATGCAGGACGTTGCTTGTGAAACAACTTCTGTAGAACTTAAGCAAACGGTATCTCTTGTGTACGACATGCTTCAAGTTGGTTCTCAGGGCAGAGACTGGTCCTTTAGAAAGCTCTTTGGTCAAGGTCTAAGCGGCCCTTGTCCTCTCGCCACTGGCAGCAGAGTTTTTGTTGATGTCACGCAAAACAGGGTATGTTTGGCCCATTCACTCTCAATGGTATTTTAATTTAAACTTGAATTTTAGTCAATATTTGACTTCCAACTGCGTCCCGAGCCATCAGAGATTCTCACAAGCATTCGTGGAGGCTCGACCAGCAAGTTAGCCCTTTATGATATCAAGCAAATGCACTTTTTTTCACTCATGAATGTGGCTGCTGCATATTCCGGAGAAAAACTAGAGCATGTCAACATTGCACCAGTTTTGTACGCTAACAGATACATCATAGGTATAAACTTTTGTGAGGTCAAATTGAAATTATTCATTTTATAATACGAACTTTTGACAAATTTTTATTACATATTTTGAAATGAAATTTCAGGATACGGACAAGAAAACGGCGGCATCGTCACCAAAGTTGTGAACAATCACTGGCAGCCGCTGGACATCATTTATATGGAAAACATTCCTTGGTTCCTGCCAGTTTACCTGCACACCTTGCGTGCAGAGGTCAATGGTCGCCAACTGACCCCTTATTCCATTAACTACGTTCCAGGCAGAGAACGAGAGCGACCTTACCAGTTGGAAGTTGCTTTGAGGATTCCGGCCCGAAGCACCACCACCTTGAGCATTTCGTTTGACTACATTTTCCTCAAGTGGCAAGAGTACCCCCCAGATGCAAACCATGGATTTTATGTTGGCGCAGCTGTTATCACTTCTGCACTGCCAGTGGCACGGAATTACACTGGGGTGCCTTACGACAGCAGCACTTTGATGTCGAGGTAAGAAATAAACAAATCTCAGACTGAAATCAATTTTTAATTAAATTTTGTGTTTTATCTTGCAGTATAAACGCATCTCGTTCAACTGGTTACCCTGTGCATATTCGAACTGAAATAATTCTCGTCTCACTACCGACGCCAGACTTCAGCATGCCCTACAATGTGATTTGCCTGGCGTGCACTGTTGTGGCTCTTGCATTTGGCCCCCTTCATAATATCACCACAAAAAGGTAATATTTTTTGAATTTGACGTAGAATATTATTGTTATCTTTTTATATGTTCCAGGCTGTTGTTAAAAGATGTTGAAGACAATAAAGGATTTCTAGAGAAGCTCAAGGACAAGTTTAGGAAGAAAGCAGTTGAAGAGGAAAAGCAGTCCGAAGCCAATGAGAAAGCTGACTGAAAGATTATTTAATTTTCCATTGCCAAGTCATTAATTTTTTAAGTTGTCATTTGTGTTATTACAATTTTTCGTAAATTATAATGGTGCGTTTTATTGATTCTCTCCCGGATTTATGTAAAAATAAAACTAATAGAGGACTTTTATATAGGAATATTTTTATTTTTATCAACTCATATTATACAGTAAGATATGAATGATTTTTTCTCTCCAAACGGCTGATTCTTGTGAGCATTTCGTGTAGTTTGATTTGACCCATTCATGAATAACAGCACGTAGAACATACTCGGCCTTTACAATGCACATTTAACCACCAAGCAGTAGAAAACAAAGACGCTTTTCTTTCAATAAAGGAATTCTGTTCGCTAAAAGGACATTAATGATGATTATTGGTTTAAGATTTTTTTAGTTTTTTATAATCGTAAATGCGTTGATGCTTGGACCATGCTCATCGTCTCTACTGGCGGTATATACGGTTATTTTACTGTGTCAAGTTAAAAAATAAAAATTCATTATGAATTGACATCTCCAGTGCATCCGAGAGGGCTTCTCTGCACCCGTCCAACAGTAATAAATAGTCTAAGTAGGTTTCTTTCCAAATTAATTATTGTTCAACTTGCTTAAAGCTGATCCGCGCTATCCGAATATAATAAAACATAATCCCTTTTGCAACAACAGTCGTAATCAACTTGCGGTGACAAAATCTCATTAACTACGTACGTCAGGTGTGCGCGTCTAATTATTTGATTGCAGTTGATTATGTTTTAAGAATAAAATGAAAATTTTTATTAATGGGAGGAAATTGGTAAAAAGATTTTAACTCGAGCCAAATTGATTTGATTTTAATGGCACATTTTGGTTTGTGTTGCTGAAAAATGTTCTTTGAGTTATCCTAATAGTCTTGTCAAAAATCATCTTAGGAAATTTAAGATTTAGAGAGAAATCAAACCTTACTGATGGCAAAACAAACTACATAAAAGCTAAATTTGTACTCGTGATCGATAGACAAACTAAACAAAAAGCATATATATAATTTCAGAAATCAGGACTCTATTTAGAAAGAATAATAATAATGACAGTTGAAAAATGACAAACAATTATGAAGTGATATATATAGGTAATTAATTGGACGTTATATATAGTCTACGGTAAATACAATTTTTTACATCAGCCAAGAGTTGGTACAAAAATCTGCACAATATGAGAGATAGACCAACAAACAATTTGTAACAAAAATGGAGAAATGGCAATAATTATATTCTTGCAGACTACAAAAACGCAATTAGACAAAATAATTAGTTAGCTTACCATTGATTCATTTGCTAAGTAAACAAAAGCGATAGAGAGAGAAAAAAGGAAATAAAAACAATTTCACATTGTTGTACAATGAAAAATAATTATATTAGATTTGAAACTTTCTGCAAAATAACATAATATTAATCGCGCGCGTTTCCTTTTAAACTTCTCCATTCAAAATAAAAGTATTGTAATCACCATGGACATATTAAACAACTTTGACATGCCATACTCTCGTCGGAGCGCCTTAAAATAAATATTTTACAAATTATGAATAACACAAAGTACAGTTTAATAATAGTTATAAAGTATATTTGAAATAATCAATCTACACGTTAATTGTAATAAAGGGCACAGATCGAAATCCTAATTGCAAGGAACAGCGACTCTTCTAAACGCAAAATACAATATAGGGGGCGGCGACAAGGAGAAGTAAAAAAACCAAGCATTCGCAGCAGTACCAAAAAGTAGCTCAAATGTAAGTCATTTTTTAATAGTAATATACACATTTACTTGTATTAAAGCATTTCAACTGGTTATCAAAAATGTTAAATGGTATCCGCGCCTTCTTTTCTTCCGTAAAAATATAAACTAATAATATTGTGTATAATTACTTTAAGGCCCCTCATGGTACTTGATTCGATTGATTATATTTTTACTTCTTTAATCATCCATTAAATATATCCATAGACTTTAGGTATGCTTTATCAACTAGGGAATTATGAGAGGAATATAGGAAATGTTCAACGAGTTATTCTAAACTAACTTTCACACACAAGTCAGTTTCCCACATCAGTCACTCAATAATATCAATTTGCTAAAGCCAAAACTTTGCGTGGGTTTGCTAAAAAAAAATTGCACAAGCAGAGCAATTGAGCCAATTTTCATATCATTTTTAAAAATTTCTGGGTATGATTAAAACATATCAAAATGTTAAATTCAGTTCACTACTGCCTGCGGAAAATGACAATTCTTCCTTAAATTCTATATAGAGGCAAACCCAACAACAGTTCTGAAGTTTTGTAATTTTGAGCCTGATGCCGGTCTCAATTTTAAAATGAGGTAAGACTGCTTTGGTTAAAATTGCTGCGGCAAAAATTTTTTTTCATGTCAGTTCAAAACGCTTGGAAACCTAAAACAAACAATAATATGGGAAATAAGTCATGATTTTCGTCCCGTCAATGGACACTCCGCGATCTGATTTGGAAGGCAGGTGAATTGAACTGCGTCAAATTCTGTCTACAACGTAATACAATTGGCACATGAGAGCTAAGTAAACCACACTGGGTGGTGTTGTTTGCTCTTTAATTAGTTACTACGCAAGAGTCGTTCAGGCACATTTCAATAGACATGAACCTACTAATTCACATCAGCTTCGAAACATTCCAAACACAGATCGGCCAAACTACACCATTACAGAGCCTGGCAGTTAATCAATTCATTAACACATAAGTAACAATAATTGTGGTGCTGCTCATGATTGGAAAAAATGCATTATTCAAAAAAGTTGGCACTGCAAAAAGGTTCATGTTTCAAGACAAATCAAAGTGTTAAAATCAAATACGTGACATAAATTTAGAAAATGCCCACCGGAGATTTTTGAACAAATTTAGTTGCTAACAAAGCAGCCGTCGTTGTTGATGTAAAATCAGATTGCTTTAAAAAGCAGTAAATAACTACTTGGAAACTAATTGCATGTAACAAAGTAAGAAACATTGCCCTTGGCCAGCTAGACGCTTGATCAGAGTAATGTTCAACAGTTGACAGGCACTACAGTCGAATATAACATACATAATTTATAGGTTGTTACATGAATTTTTTTTAACTGTTGGGAGAATAATCATCAATGTGATGCTCGTCCTCAAAACAGAGGATGTAGATCAATGTGTTTTTCCCAGAGTTACACTCCCAGAAAAATATTGATGCAACTCAACAGTCACAGTAAATTAGGTTACCCTGGATGTCTCAACCCCACTACTTTAAGAGCAGCTCACAAGCTGGAACAAGGGGCCTGCCGCGGCCAATCTAAATTTTGTGCTTGAGTAAATTTTAATTGTCCAAGTCGCAAAACGAGAGGGACGGTCACCAAGGTCAATGATTAAAATAGGATAAAATCCACAATTGTGTTGTTTAAAATATATATGGTTTTTCGGTAAAAATGTGAGCCAATTGGGTATTTTGTCGTCAGCTAGTAAAATGTGAGGCGGCACCTCTTGAATTCAGCCACGGGCTTCTACGGGGAAATAAAAGCTTTTGCTGGAGGTTTTGGCTCGCTTGCTTGCCGGGAGGTTCCTCAGCAAGGGCCCCTGTGGAGTAGAAGCTGCTATGAGGCGGCCGCTTGAGCTTGGGGCACTGAAGACGAGGCCACAAGCACTGAGCCGCACAGCGGCGCTGCGCTCGTAGTTGGGGAACTGCCTGTGGTGGAGGAGGCCTGTGAAGACGCCGCCAACCCGCCCGGGTGGTGGTATGGGTGGTTTGAGTTGCACAGCACATTGTACACACTATCGACCTTGCTCAGTTTTTCAAAGAATGGAATCAAGTCCATAAGCTCTGAATCGGTCATATCATCAAACCATGATGCCACAGGTACCTGCAAAAAAATGTAAAAATTCTTATTAAATAGAAACCATCAAACCAGGCTCATTTCTTTTTCCAATGGATAATTTAAAAACTTAAATGAAGGTGATGATTTTTATTCCAGTTGTCTTATCTTAAGTTGAGTATTTGAGTTAGTTTAAATTTAGATTGGTATTTAATTGGATAAATTTTAGATATATTTTAAAATTTTTGCTTTGATTTATAATAAAAACTTACAGCATTGTCTGGGTGGAATATATAAGAGGCTGGCGAATTATCCACAATAATCACAGAATGAAGGTCCCTGCCAAGCTTGTTGAGGTCTTTGACGTAGTTGCCTCGGTGAAACACGCAGGACTCTCGGAAGAGTCTAGCCCTAAAGACGCCCCACCGGTCCAGCAAATCGGCTACCGGATCAGCATACTGCAATGCAGAATTACAAAATTATTCGGTTTCATCATTTTTCTGGAAATGCTACTTTTGCAAGGCTTGCGGTGAATAAGACACACTCGTAGAGCTCTCCCATGCGCTGAAGGAATTCATCAACGTGAGGCCTCTTCAGCACGTAGACTTGGTGCACTGTCCCATCTATTTCCACAGGAACAATGAAGTCAGCATTGCTTATAGGCTGCAACGAGAAAATGGCAAAATGTCAAAAATTATATCACATGGAAGGGAAGTAATGATTAATATTAGGCCTTCCTGTATTTCCACCGCAAAATTGAGTCATGCACGATCAGAGTCATTTTTAGATTTAAAAACCCGTAATTTAATGTAATGACAAATTCTTTGCGCCATCAGGAAAAAAGAAGAATAATTTATTTTGAAAAAAAAAATTATCAATCGATTTTTAAGCAGAAAAAATTGTTCCAATAACAAAACTATTATATAAAAAAAGTATTTTACAATTTAATTGTACCTTAAAAGAACTATGGACAAGCGTTTCGTCAAGGTCAATGACCATACACTTTCTGTGCATGTCCTGGTGCCGGACGGGTGGCAGCAGGTACATCTGGCCCCCGGAGTTGGAGTTGGGCGAGAGCGATGGCGAGCAGCGGCCGTCGGCGTTGCCCAGACCACCGTTGCCCCCTGCCTGGGGCGAGGAACCCTTTGGAGACGCATCGCTCCTATCTTGTCTGCGGACACAGCAGAAGAGAGACCGGAGGAGGCCTCGGCGAGGCTTTTTTCTCTGTTTTACACTGGAACCTGTGACAAAGAAAAGTGCGTTTTTTAAGAGAATAATAATAAACAAAAAATTGTTTTCCTTTAAACCGTAAATCAGGAAAATTTAAGTTAATTTATATAAAAAAATACAAAAACTTTGAAACTGCAGCAGCTGCTTGCTGAAACCTCAGAAGTATAATTAAATCTGCGGATCTCTGTCCTGCTCTTTAACCGAGTAAATCGCTCCAAAAATAAAATAATTATATTTACCTTGACTTGAGCCGTCCCCGTCAACCACTGGAAGCTGAACTGAAAACGAAGAAGACAAAAAATTAGCCTGCATAAGTAATTTGCTCACCACAATGAAGAATGTCAAGTGACAAAGATAAAAATAAGCAAATATGTACGCGTAAGATTTTATATGGCTCGTACGTACAGGAGAGACGGTGTCGGACACACTCATTGCCCTCTCACATAAACAAACATTCGCTAGTGCTGCAGATCGGTTCAAGAATTCAATTTTACACAAGTAGCACGCGCGTCTGATAAAAAATGTCTTTGTTTTCCAAATTCTACTCATCCGAGCAAAATTTATCATTGAAATTAACATTTTCTTTCCACTTACATAAAAAGCTGCTTGCATAGCGAACGATATGGAAAATATGCAATCGACCGAGGGTGGAGTTCAAATTAGGCCCGAACAATCGGCTCGCGACGCAATTTCCGGCCGAAACTGGCAATTGTGGTCGGAGGGCGCAAGGGATGGGTTGTCAAAGGGAAGAAGGTCGCGACCGAGCCCACAGAAGGTGGCTTGCACAATTTTGATGCAGCTAGGCGGGTTCGCAGCAAAACACCTGTCCACGTACCTTTTTCGTCGGCTAGAATGGTGTTGGACTGGTCGTCATCGCGCGACACTTGAGTAATGATGGACGACGGGTCCATTGAGACATTGGTTGGGGCTCTGTCTGCGAGTGCTGGCCGAAAAATAAGCGTAAAACGGCATAAACACAGAGCAGCAGTTGTCCAAGATGGCAGCCACTCCCCTCTTCCCTGACTGGCTGCGCACCTTGCTGCTGCCAGCCTGCCACCGACGACGGTCTTCAATCGTTCTTGGACAACCCTGCGTCCCAGACCCCTCGATCAACGCGTTATTTTTATTCAGACACACTCGATTTCATTTCATGATCCCATGTTATTATTGAAATAAATAATTTGGGAAAATCTTTGTCGATTTCAAGGTCATTAAAATTCCACCGCGATATGCAGTGTTGCCAAGTTTCCAGCGAGGCGCGCCTTCAAAAGTTTTGCCCTTTTTGGCGGCAACATATTTATTTCTTTTTCCTTTTTATTTATTTATTGAACAATTTTTCCACTAGAATGCTGATTTCAATTTAAAAGGAATTTTCAACTCAAACTGCAAAATTTTATAAGTATAATTTTATTTTTTCCTGTACAACAGAAACAGGCATTCAATTATCAATCAATTTCACATACTTCTTTTATTTTTTAATCTGCTGATAGCCAGTGTGCTTAAAATACCTTAAAAGTACATAAATAAGCATGAAAACATAATAGAAATTTAATATTTCATTTTAAACTCTTGATAATTTTTGGGCATAATTCAAAATAACTAGGATTTCCTTTGAAAATATAAATAAGACCAACATTTTTCCTTGGAACAATACAGCTACTGTTTCCCTGCAAAATTAGGGAAAAGCTTGAGTGAATGCAGCAGTATAATAATTATCCAGAATGTTTTGTATCTAGCCGAGAATGTTACAAAGCTTATATGGAGCTGTATTGCACTTCAGATATTTGCTAAGAATCAAGGATTTTGCTGAAAATCCCTGCGATCATTTATTCAATGTGATCTCTTTTAAAACTTTACATTTGAACCTCAACATTAAATGTACAAAATAATATCCATGTACTGAAGTGACAATAAGAAATGTTATTAGTGTCCAAGCAGTTGAATTCGAGACGATGCACACTGACAATCAAAAATTTTCAGAGTAATATATTTTTCCATAACACAAACAATATAATTATGATGATGGATATCCAGGGGGATTACAGTGCTAGAGAATCTTGCCTTTATACAGCTTAGAAAAGTGAGCACGGGAAAAGGAGAGGTGGAGTGACGGCAGCCAGATGATGTTTTCTTTTAATTCTTTTAAAATTTAGCAAGTACAAAACATTAACGAATGATCAGTAATTAGAACAAAATTAAAAAAAAAGACTAGGAGAATTTGGGCTCTGGTCTAACTGCAGGAATTTTGTCTAACACATGTAGCAGCTGCCCTTCAATGCAATTTTTTGGGTCCAAATGTAACGTGACAAAATTAATTGAACAAACAAGACAACAAGTGTCAGCAGAAGGAATGTTAACGCAAGGCTAATCGAATGCCCTTCAAGTGTTGAGCCCAGTTTTTCCTCAAGCAGTGTTGATGAGAGAAAAAGTGCTACAGTGATTGGAAGATGACTGTGACAGTGACGCGTGCCTCTCCTCCTCCTCGGCTACGACTCCAATAATACAACTGTTTAATGAAAAAATATAGGAATCAATAAACATTTTGCAAGTATTTTGATAAAATATAAAACTCGAAATGCACTTTCTTTAGCTTACATGAGAGGAGGCAGGCAAGATTGGACCACGACAGAGATCCACATCATTTGCAACAGCTGCTGGGCCCTCTTTGCGCAGAATCCGCACCCTCAACAAGCCTACGTCCTTTTGCTGCATCAGATCCACTCGCTGCTTGGTCGGTCTTGGGAAGTTTCTGGGCTGTTTTCAGTAGAAAGAAAGTATTTGAATCACAAACAATTCCAATCAAGTGAAATAAATACCAATTGCTAAGAAGATATCGTTGACATTCATGGCCGTCTTGGCCGAGGTTTCCATGAAGAGGAGGCCGTGCTCGTCGGCGTACGCCTGCGCCTCCTCGAGGTCCACCATTCTCTTACTGGCTAAGTCAGCCTTGTTTCCGGCTAGAGCGATCACAATTGAGGGCGACGCCTGCTTCTGCAGCTCCTTGACCCAGTTCTTGGCGCGGCCAAAGGTGTCCTGGTTGGTTATGTCGTAGACAACGATGGCCGCCTGCGCGCCACGGTAGTACATCGGCGCCAGGCTGTGGTACCTTTCCTGGCCGGCCGTGTCCCAGATTTCAAACTTGACCGTCGTGTCGTCAAGGCATACAGTTTGCGTTAAAAAAGCGGCTGAAACAAATTCATTTCAATTCATTATTAGGCAATGATAGGAAAAATAATTTTAAAATAGTTGATGAATCTAGCAGAGAATGATGATGGTTTTGAATTTAAAATCGGCTTTTCCTCGATGGGTTTTGTGAGTTGTTAATTGTTTAAGGAAAACAATGTCTTGCTCTACATGATTCGGCTGCGGGCGGCAGCTAAAAAATGTAGAGCAGGATATTGGTTTACTTAAAAATTAACAACTCACAAAACCATTCAGGGAAAAGCTGACTGTAAATTCAAATCATCATGAATCAACCCTCGATTGTGAAATTCTACTACAAAAAATCATTGAGAAATTCTTAATGATTATTTTCTTTCATGTTAAGTATCTCAATAATGATTTAATAATTTTAATGGTAAGTAAATAATTATTGACATTTCGATTATTAATATTATTATAAAAACCATCAAAATCGTCGTTGAAACTTTTAATTGGTTTTGATACTGTAGGCAATCTTAAATTTTGTGTGTATGATTAGTTTGATAAGATAATTTTTTAAGTTGACTTTCATAATGATTTGACTGGGCTTGGGGAGGTTAGGGATTTCCTTTTTGGTTAGATTAAAAAAATATTATCAGGTGAATTTAAGGAAAAAGCAACAAATAAGAAATTTAAAATACAAATCTGATAAGAAGAACCAATTTGGAAATAAACAATGCACCATTTCCACTTTGTCCGACATGACAAGCATTACAACAGAAAAACACAATATCTCAACATTGTTCTTTTCTGGTGCAACGCTGAAGATTGTGAAACTCACTCCAGTGGGATACTAATCTCTGTAGGATCTTACGATGAAGGATATTATCAGGGTTGGTAGCAATAAAAAAAGGAAAATAATAAATTAATACTAAAGAAAAATAAAGAATTTGAACAATTCAACATGTTTTTTAAACTTGCTAATTTTGAATGGGCGTAATTCTAAAAACAACTTCAAAATTTCTTCTGGCAAAAAGTGAGAACAAAATGAAGCATAAAAAAATTGTAGAGAAATTCCAGGGTCGATGGTGCTTTCATTTAAATTAGGCTTTTCCCTTCATGTTTTTTTTAATCGTCTATTGCCAGACTCAGAAAAACCCACAGAGTAAAAGCCGAAATTAAAACGCCATAAAACTGATAGATTTTTCTAATAATCGTACAGGGAACAGTAAAAACATAATTTTTCATTAAAATTGGAATGCAAAAAATCTGACAAAAATTTTTAAATTTAAAAATGAGGAATGACATGAGTTGTTGATTGTAAAATTTACCTCCTATTGTACTCTCTTGGTATTCGTGGAACTGTCCTTTGACGAACCGCAGCACCAAACTCGACTTGCCAACGGCCGACTCGCCGAGCAGCACCAATTTGAACTGGCAGATTTTGCCCTGGGTGGCTCCGTTGGGCCTCTGCGCCGAGCTGCGTGAAGCCATCACTTCCTGCAACCACAGCGCACATTAATATTCGCTCCTTGTTGTTCTAACATGTCATGCAAAATCCGAATCGCGCGAGTGCTCGAGAGTCGTTCGCCATCTGCCGCGAGTTAATTAGTGCGAAAAGCGCACAGACGATGCAAGTGACACATCAATGAAATGTGGATTTTTTATCAATTTTTTCCCACAAAATTGTTGTTTAGTTTTTGGAAAAATTGAAATAATTTACAAAGTTGAAATGATAAAAATATTGTTTTGAAGAAACAAATTTGAAAATAATACTAATTCTTCCATCATAAAATTATGTTTCTTTTGCACTTTTTTGCACAATAATAATTGATAATAATGAAAGCATAAAATGTATATTATATAATTAAAATTGGCCTTGAACTGACGAGCAGAAAATTTAGTTGAAACCGTCATGCTCGAAAAAATGACGCTTCTCTGCTGATAAGACGGCAAGAGTCGTCATTCTCATTGCAGTGCCCTCGAAAAATAAATAAATTGTCAGCTGCAAAATAAACTAAAATCACAATTGTCGCACGTGACTAAAGCAAAGAACCGGTACAAGCCAAGTGGAAATAATTCCACCAAATTTTTTAAACTGGTGACAAAAAAAGGCAGCTAACTGCGAGGAGGTAAGTGAATGTTGGCCTTAACTTTTAGTACTACTGGAAATAAATATAAAAGTAAAGAGGAGTTTCACTTGACGGACGGACAAGCAACGACCGGTGAAGCGATGAGAAAAGGCCAAAGATAAAAAAGTAAAAGCGGCGAAGAAATTAACAAATTTGTTTTGTTTTTGCAGTTTCTTGCAGTTTCTAATGCATGATGTGTAGGTTTGTGGATAACAAATCAAATTTTTCTAAACAAACTTCCAAAGTATTTTAAAATCAGTATTATTTCAGCACTTTTTTGGCAATCATTAGTAAAATATTTTTAAAATTAAATTATTCACGTTGTATTGATATAAAGTGCCACTTAACTTTTCCTTGTAAAAAAATACTTATATAAACCGTCAATACCTTTAATTTACATACTAAATGTTTTTTTAAACACTGTTTGTAGACATGCATGTAAGAACATTTCAATGTTTCTCTGAAGGATTTTCTTGAAAATTTTATTGATTTTTTCTTTCTTAAATTCAAGACATATCATCTATTTTGATCAACAAAAATAAAATGGAGGAGATTAGAAGAGGATTGCACGTCAGACTTTTTTAGACAAACCAGCAAGGAAGCCTTTGTCAGCTAATATTTGGCCAAGGCATTTTTTAAACTTTCTAAATCAAGCTTTTTTAATGATAATGCTGCAACCCTTTTCACCCTCTTGAGTTTGTTAACAAGTTTTGAGGAAAAAACTTTTTGTGAGTTTTTCCTGGAAGGAAAATGGTTGTAAATGTAATCACTCGAAAACATCTACAGAGTGCACTGCACAACCAACGAATCTGTAAAAATTAAAAAAAAAATCAATTTGATACATAATATTATGAAACGCACAATCCAATTAGTGCACACCTGCGTTTCGAGCACCTTGCCGAGTTACGTAAACAATCACGGACAAGGCGAGGGGAAGAATTGGCTGAAGAATTGGAAAAAAATTGTAATGAGTCACTGGCTTATGACCGTGGGGCTTTAATTGGTGCCCGCGCGCGTCCGGTCAGGGCAACGCGATTCGGACGGAAGCGGGACGATGAACTCGAGAGCACTGGCGCAATCAATTATTATGTGCGGGTGGATAAATAAATACATACATACGCACCTAGACGGGGTGTGATTACGCAAATTCGATGAACAAGTGAAGCAGAGTTTGCTGCGAGAGAGTGAGTGAGTGCACCGCCCCTCACCGTGACAGCCAACACATCACACAATCGGACGAGCGACGCCTCGAAAAGTCCCGCCCGGCCACAGGCTCTGATTCCCTCCGCAGCCGACGGTCTTCAGTCCCACGATTCGGCCCGACGAAGGCAGCCAAATGCGCATCAATCGGCGAAATACCAAGGCCGCAATTTCAGAGTTGCACTGCTGCTGCTGCTGGGCTGACGGGTGGTTGATAATAGGGTGGGGGGAGGGGGGAGCAGCGCTTTTCGCTCGCCGATTGTTTTCTCGCAGCTCCAAGATGGAAACCTCAATCGCGGGCAGCGCGAAATGTGACCCCTGCTGTGCGGCGGTGAAATGCGATGCAGCAGGAAAAACTTGGTTTTATTCCAATTTCATCAAAACATTCCGCATTTATTTCGGATTAAAATTTCAGAAACATAACTTGATATTTTTTCTATCCTCCCCGTCTCCGCTTTTCTTCCACATAAAAGTGGCAATGAATAAAGAGAGATACTTGTTCATAGTGTTTTACATCATTATTATCCTGGTTATAAGTTTCAGTGAATATTAATATATTATTAAAAGTTGATTTAATTATAAAAATTATTATTTGTCAAAAATTTCATTATGAGACGAGTTTTATTCAGTGTACACAAGAAAATCATAAAAGTTAGAGGCTAAGTTTTCATTCCTAAAAATTATCGACGGCGTCTACGATCATCTCTATCATCTCGGCGGTCCCTGCCTTCTCGGGGCCGATTTTTGTCATCCTTCAGGTGCTGAGCCAACCTTTCCTCCCTTTCTTTTCTCGGAACATCTTTTCTCTCCTTTGGCTTGGATACCTTCTCGTCCTCACTGCTCGAGGAGGAAGAAGAGGATGAAGACTTTTTGCTTTTCTTTTTGGGCGCAGTCTTTTTGCTTTTCTTTTTCTTCTCTTCTTCGTCCGAGGAGGACGACGAGGACGAAGAAGATGATGACGAAGATGAAGACGACGACGAAGAGTCCTCTGCGTTCTTTCTTTTATTTTCGTCCACCTTCCTTTTCAACTCCTCCACCATTTTCAAGAGCTTCTGCCTGCGCTCATCTTCATCTTCCTCATCACTGGAAGAATTGTCCCTGCGCTTTTTGGACTCTTCAGCAACTCGCCTGCCTTTCAATTCTGGCTCGGGAGACTCGCCATAATAACGACGAGGCTTTTCCACAGGCGCAGCGTCTCTCTTTGGCCGTCTATTATCATGTTCCTTGTCATCCAAATGGTCCTCCAAGTCTCTACGATGGCCATACGGATGTCTGTCATCGACTCTCTCTTTTCTCTTGTATTCTTGGTGGTCCTGTTTGCGTCTGTCGTTGTCTCGATCATTTCTACTTTCCCTGGGATCCGGGCGGTCTTGTTTGCGCCCATTGTCATCTCTAGACCTTTGCTGTCTTTCTTGTGGCTCGTCTCTCCTGCGACGTTCCGTGTCAGGCCTAGGTCTTTCTTCCTCAACGTTTTTCCTGCTTCTACGTTCCTCGCTAAGATGCTCTTCATTTCTGCGGGACTTGCTGTTGTCTCTAGCAGACTTTTTGTTTCTTTCCTCCTCTCTGTGTTGATCATGAGCATGAGGTCTATGCTGATCTCCACTGTTCTCTCTTGGCCTCTTTTGTTCGACTTCCCCTTCACTCAAACTCTCTCGTTTTCTCTTCTCTTTCCCCCTTTTCTTGTCTTCTTTTGTCTCCTTGTGATGCTGCTTTTCTTTTGGCTTTTCTTCGCGCCTTTTCTTTCCTCTAACATCTGGGGATTTTTGGTCTTCATCACTAGATTTTGAGTTGCTTTTTCTCTTCTTCAGACTGCGCTTGCTATGTTGAAAATCTCTCATTTCACCTTCCTCAGAACTGCTCTCAACGCTCTTCTGATGCTTCTGCTTGGACATTTCATCTCGAGACCTTTCCTTCTTGTCCTTAGGGAGGTCTTGGTCCTTTTCCCTTTGCTTCAAGTCGTCTCTGTCTCTCCTCCTTTTGTCGTCATTCCTACGACTGTCCTTTACCCTCAAATCCTCTCTGTCCATTCTCAATCCAGAATGACGCCTGTCATTCCTCTCATCCTCACCAGAGTTTTTGCGTTCGCGCCCTCTACTTTCTTTTTTGCTTCTTTTTTCATCTCTCACTTCAGGACGTCCCTTCGAATCTTCTGTCAAATCTTTGTCTTTGCGGCTCTTTTCAGACTTTTTCTTCTTGTCCTTACTTTTCCGACTAGCTGTGTAGTCAGAATCTTCTAGAACATAAAAAATTAATCATGTCAAAAAATGCTAAACAACACAATTTGCAAGTAAACACTACCTGACGAAGAGGAATCTGAAGAATCGCTGCTTGACGAGCTGGAGCTTGAACTGCTCGATGTTACTTCTATCGGTGCAGGCGCAGGTTTCGGAATGGCTTTCAAATGCTCACGAAGTTCATCCCTGAATAATTTATAAGTTTATTCAAAGCAAAATAAAATGTAAACTTGGCTTACGTTAGGCCACCAAGACCAATTGATGTGAAGAAATTGATTGAAAATCGAGAATTTCGTGGATCGTCCCTCGGGAAAAGTCCTTCAAAAGCAGGTTGGAGAAGTCTGAAACAGTTTAAATGTTTTGATATGCATTAATAATTTCTATCATTAACAGGCTCTCACGGTTCTTTGATGCGCTCGTTTAACTTCTTGAGGCCCATATACTCCGAAAGTTCTTGGAAGAGGATCTTGATGAAAATCCGTGATGAGCTGTTTGTATCTTCTTCAGTCAATCGAACACAACTGAGCACTTCCCAGGATATTGCATCCGTAAACAGAAGGTGAGCAAAGAATTTGGCCACGTTTCGTAACATTTTTGTCTCCAGTCGATGAACGGTGCTGTAAGTGTCCATGAAAATTTGCTGGAAGGGATCAATGTAGATCTTGTTGATTTGACAGAAACGCTAAGAAGTAATAATTATTTGTGAGAAATGTAATTAGTAAACATAATAAAGTATTTTCTGACCTGCGCCAAAAGACCATAAAACTTTTCATAGGTTCTTTGTTGCGCACAACAGTCGAGGAACATGTGACAGAGTTCTTTTTCCTGACCAGGTTTCAGCGTCATCTTCATGAGCTTGTGGGCACACTCCTCAAAATCAAGACTGGAGGTAATGGTCAGATAGATGGTCCTTCGAAGGGCAACCAAATTAGTCTCAGTGTTGTCTATGATAGTCTGCTGTGCTTCTTGAGTTTGCTCCCCTTAAATGATGTAATTTATTTCAAATAAAATTGTATATGCAAGGATGAAAAGTTACCTTCAGAATCCTCACTTCCCGAACCGCTTTCATCCCCACTGGCTCCGCTTTCATCGGAAGACTCGTCAAGAAGTTCTTTACGCAGCTGGGCGTACTTTTCCTCATTGGCTTCGTACTCGGCGTCAAACTTGAAAACATCTAAAATTTAAAAAAAAAAAAAAAATTTAAAATTAAAAAATCTAATTAAAATTTTACTCAAAGTATCCTGCGGATCAGTCGCTTCATCGAGGGTAATAAGATGTGTAAACTGATCCTCCTCCTCGACCACATCTAAACCTTCCTCTACTGCTTTATTGTCCTTGAAGCCGTCTTTACGTACTTGAAACATGACCTCAATCATGTATTGCACCTATTTTTAATGAAATGAAATTATTTTCCTTCGATGGTTTTTCTTTTTTAAAATTATTGACCCTTTTATCCAATTTTCCTTCGTGCAGAATGTTTCGAAGCATTTCGAAAATGGAGTGCAGTGCTTTGGAGGAAACCTCAGTGAGTTTGTCACCACACTCCTTCAGAAAAGCGATGGCAACTTCTACAGAGTCATCAGTTGGATTTTCCACTAGAAGCGTCAAAATCTCCAGGGCCAAAATTTCATGTGCCTATGAAGAAAAAATGTTGCAACAAAAAAATATACAAAGTTTTAACAGGTCTACTTACAACACACTGGTTGACCAAATGGGCGATGAATTTTACTGATGAGATGCAAAGGGTTTTGTCATTTCGTCTAAAACCCCTTCGAAATTGGATCACAAGTCGCTTCAGCAAAAGCTCTCCAATTTTGGGAAACTGAAAGTACAAAAAAATTTTAAAATTAGAGTATAATCTTAAATATTAATTTGAAAACTTGAAAGATCTTAAATATCCCATAAATTGAAATTAAGAATTGTGTTGCAAAGTCAATTTGTAGTCATTAAAGATTTTAATTTTCAAGAAAATAACCTTGCTATTGATGACAGCTACAAGAGCACCATAAATGTGGGTGAAAGTTGGCGACGAGACTTGCGCCTGGATGATGCACCTTGTTAGCAAGCCCCTTCCTCGGACAACATTCTCCTTGAAAAGCTCTCGCACAATTATCCCCAGGTTGCCAAGATTGACCTTGTTGACGAGACCAGTGATGGACTTCTTGAGTGCTTCCCAGGCCAGACGCTGATAAGCAATGCTGCTCTTGTCTGTGATTTGCTCCTGCATCATCCGGAGCTTCGCAGGAGGGATGTAAGCACCACCTGTCCTGGACGTCAGCAGGTCCTTCATAGCTTTTTTGTTTGCCGCCTCTGCAGCTGCCTTGGGGTCAACAGGTGTCTCTGTTTTCTTATCTAAGACAAATTAGAGTCAAGTTAAAAATTTTAGGCAAAAATCATTTTCAAATTGGTAAAGAGCAAAACTAATAAATACATATATATAATAATAAAAGAGATGATTCTACACATGATTTTACCTTTTTGATTCTCCTTGTCTTCTGAATGACTTCTCCGTCTGTTCCTTCTGTCCCTTGATCTTGACCTGCGTCTTGGAGACCTTGACATTCTGTGTTTCCGCGCGCGGTCTGGACTTCGAGAATGCCGTCTGCGACGCTCCGAACGTCCTTCGTCCTTGTCTCCATGCGTCTCCGACCTCCTGCTGGCAGATTTTTCCACTTTGCCTGAGCGCTGCCTCTCGGACGGTGACTCGGATCTTGTCGACGTGCCCATCTTGACCGTCTGAAATTTTTATTTACATACATGGAATGATTTTTTATGTTCAGTTCATATATTTAAAGTATATAAATAAAACTTAAAAATCAAATTTTTTATCTCGAACGAGGTTAAATGATTTAAAATTTAATTATCTGCTAAATATATACAAGACAAACATTGTTATTCACTGATTATTAAACACAAAAAATGTGGCGAGTGCAAAACGACGCGTTGTTTGTGAATTTCTCAACTCACTTACCCTGGTTCCTTTTGGCTCAATCGGTGCCGAATCTGTTCCTCACCTTACAGATTTTATCAAGTGATCCGGGAAAAGGATTCAGATGCAGCGAAACAATCAAATTAAAAAAATACAAAGTTGTTTATCAAAAGATCCTTGGGAGAATTGAATTGCTTTCACAAGCAGCGAGCACGATATTCAACTGTTTTCTGTTTTGTTTGGTTTCCCCCTCTGAAGCGTTATGCGCATGAACAAGATTTTAAAACAAGCTTAGCGCGAAGAACGTGTGGTAGTTGTTTTTTTCATGCCCACAAAAATTTTCATTTTTCATCATCTATATTTTTTGTCCAATTATATAATAGAATTTATATATATTTTCAAATCATGATTGTTCTACGTTTTCTTCTCTCTTTCCGCTGCACAACAAATAATAAATATAATTGTGATAATATCAATAAAAATTTGATCGCAGTCCAAAGTTTGAAAACAACTTTTTTCAATGAAAAAGTGAAAAACATCATCTGTCATCTGCCGCCCATATTTTAATTTAGTTTTAAGGCAGATTTCACACGCGCTCGCCGCTGGGTCGATAACGCCGCCCGCACAACTCGATCTGCCGTGGCATTCCGTCATATCTGTGTGTGTGCATGTAATTACGGCGCGCGGCACCTCCTCTCGATCCATTCGCTCCTGGCACTTGAGCACCAGCAAAGTCTACTTTCGACGACTTCTCGAGGGCACGCACGCTCTCCACGCGGGCATCGAGCGCCAATCGAATGAGCACCCAAGGCACAATGGAGCGGAGCGAGAGCGAAACAGCGCCTGGATGGTAGGCAACCAACCTGCCTTCAACCGCAAATAAAATAAAATTTACTTTTTAGCCTAAATTCTGAAATTTATAATCTTACAATAATGAATGGGAGAATTTTATTTTCAGATTTTTTAACATTGAATAGTAGCGTTTTAGCAGACACCTGCTAGTTGCGAATCAATTCTTCTTTTTTCCAATTTTAAATAGTTTTTGGGTTAGCAGAGAAGAATAAATAATGATTTAATTAATTTTAGTTTTCATCCATTTTCATAACATGATGATGCTGGCAAAATAATGGATGTAGGATTTTAATTGATTCACACTTCCTAAAAAGAAAAACACAAAACATGATCAAATCCGTTAAAATCTTGAAGTAACTGCCAATAGTGCCAATTGATTATTTTCTCATCAACATTTATATTTCATTTTACCTGAATTTTCTTCTTAAATTGAAATTTTAATTAAATAACCTTTTTTTTTAATAATTGTAGTGAGAACATTTTTTATTACACCAGGAACGGGGATGAAAATAAAATTAAATATTTTCCCCTTTATTTTAGATGATTTTGTCGCAAATTATTTATTATTTCATTTAAAAATAAAAAAGAGGAATTTGAGAGATTGTTGTGCGTGCGACTTGGCAACTCGCGGCGGGAATCTGAGGCTCGCGAGCTATTCCGCAAACATCGCGGTCGGACGAGGAGCGCATCGTTTACCAGGAGGTAACGCATTCTTTCACGTGTCATAATTTCATCTTTCTTCCGTTCATCCTCCCATCCGAGCCCAAAAAATCCAGCGAATTCTTCTTCCTTATTTTCAGTCACATTACAATGAACAAACTTAATTGATTTCTATTTACTCGGCCTCGCCAGCCAAAACGATTATTAATTTAAAAACCTTGATCGCGGCCAAATGATGAGATCGGTTAAAAATTATTCTCGGAAAAATCGGTTAAATTGTTAACGATGCAATCGAACAGGAAGATTTTAGGTCTAAGAAATAGAGAAGGAAATAAAGTCTATGCTAATTTGCAGAAATGATGAAAATGACGAGTTAATTCAGAAAATTCAGTCCCCTCACAAAAGTCGCTGCTTTTATGTTGAGGCATTGCAGGGAAGGGTTTTTTGTGCCGGTGTGAGTGTGCACCTGTCGCAGAGGTTTTCCCAATTCCAACTCCTCCAACACCAGGCGCGCATGTTTGAGCAGCAGGTATAAAAGTAACAGGCAACAAGCATTCCAAGCGGTAACGCGAACACACCTGACATTTCTCATCTCATTAGTCGAGCTTGAGTTCATCTTTTGAATGGCAGGACAAGGATCGTGAGCTTCTAAAGTAATTTCTGTTCTGTTCCACCAATTATTTAAAAAAATTTAATCCTCGTCCAAATTTTCGGCCCATTTTTTCTAATTTTTGCACTAATTCTTTGTGATAGGTAAATCTTATTTTTTGTGTCAAGAAAATAAACTTTTCTTAAAAATAAACTCATAAATGAAAAGGGAAAAGAAAATTTAAATGACTTCTGCAGCTTCAATAAATTATAATTAATCGAATTAATCGTTTAAGCTTAGTGCAGACAATATATCAACATATAAGGAAAATCTTATGATTTAAAATTTATAAATCTAATAAAACTGTGGAGGCGCCGGGTATCGATCCCGGTACCTCTCGCATGCTAAGCGAGCGCTCTACCATCTGAGCTACGCCCCCTGTGTTATTAAACTGCTGAAGCATTTCGTATATTTCGACAAACTGCGCCGTCTTGCAGCTGCACGCCATGAGAATCTTTTTGTGCAGGGGAGAGAGAGGTGTGCAGGGTGCTAGCGACAAGCGGATTGCATAACTTCTCATTTTCAGACTTCTTCAGAAAATGAATTCTAGATTCAAGTGAATCAAAATATTTAGACATTAAAAATTAATCTCGTTAATAAACTTTTTATAGGTGATTTTTTTTAAATAAATTTGCTTTTTTTACAACTGAAAAATAATAATAAATAATTATTGTATGGCTCTATAATTAATAATGATTTTTTATTTTATTAAAAAGTAAAAAGAGAAAAAATATGCATAGCGAGTATTAAACCATTTTAGCAGCAATATAGATGATCACGATGGCGTAGCCTCGCTGTCTCGCATATCCTCAACCCAGTCTCGGTAGACGGACAGTCTGGTGTAAGCAGTTACCTGGTTGGGGTTGCAGGTGCCGGCTCCCTGCTTCACAGGTCCCACGCTGACAATGGCACGCACAAACCAGCGGCCATTCTTTTCAAAGGTGAGGCCACCGCCACTATCACCATTGCATACACTTGACCCTTAATGAAAATAAAATTTAATAAAATTAGTAAATTTCATATTTTAAGCTTTAAAAAACTTTTTGTTTAAGAACAAGATTAAAAAAATAATAATAATAATAATGAAAAAAAAAAATTATTTTATGATAAAATCTCTGGTAAGATGAAATTGATTGAAAATATCGTACATTTTTAAAATTAAAATGTTTAGAATCCTTAAAGATTTTAAGATCAAAGTGCAGAATAATTATGGAAAAAATGATATTTTCTCTCACCATTTGTAAAGCCAGCGCAAATCTTGTCTGTTGTGATAAGTGGTTTGAACTCAGCAGGCACTATTTTCTCGCACTGAGAGTACTCAACAAACGGAACCTCCAGGAACTGCAGAGTATTTGTCAAACTTCCATTCCCGTCTTTGCCCCAGCCAGCAACCTTTTGATATATGATATATTTAATTTTGGTCGTAATTTTCATCTTAAGCATAAAAATGCACAACAAAAACACTGACCTGTCCAACATTTCCTTGAATAAGCTGCTCCCGTTCAAAGCTGTTTTGCCAGTCAACGCAGACCGGCCGAACAAAAGGTGTGAAAACTGCATAGTCTTTGATCCAGACAATCGCAATATCAGCAACGTAGGACCGAGAAAAGCCTCTGTAATCTGGGTGTACGTCAATGCGCCGCACCTTGAATTTATAATTTTTTTACTGCACATAAAATGTTCAATTATAAATTTAAATTACATCTCTCAGCTGCGTGTAGTCTGTTTTAACCACCCAATCGCGGAAGAATTTTCCAAGACCGATTTTGAAGTTTTCTGCGGAGCGCGCTTTTCCCTGCACCTCGTCCCAGAAGCAGTGGGCGGCTGAATATTTTTTTAAATTTTGATTAGAACATCTCAGGTTGAAATTAAATTAGAAATTACCAGACAAGACCAAGTGCCGGTTAATTAAAGAGCCTCCGCACCAAAACTTTGGCGGATCGGGCAATTTCAGGTCCTTGATGAAGTAGACGCCGGCGTGCCAAGGGAACTGACCAACCTCAGCCTCCCGACCCTGCACAACAAAGAGTTGGCCCTTTGGCACGCGCTCTCCACATTCTGGGAAATTTGATTTTTATAATTCAGTAAAAATAACGAACATTGTTAAACTTTGAGAAAAGGAGGGGGAAACTGGTGCTCGCCGGAGAGAGTGGTCATTGCCCCACCCAATGGGCACATAAGGAAATAACTGGTTGTGCCTCTTTCAGGGCAAATTGACCTCAATATTTGCAAACAAATCCAAATCATATTTAATACAGAAATAACTGGGGGCGTAGCTCAGATGGTAGAGCGCTCGCTTAGCATGCGAGAGGTACCGGGATCGATACCCGGCGCCTCCAAAATTACCTTTTTTAATCAGAAATAGTGGATGAAAAGTTCTAAACAATAGTTTTGCTTGATGCCCAATGAAATTTTGAGGTATGGGTGACATTTACAAAAAAAATTCTAAACTCCAAACCGATACTTTTGATTTATAAAAAAAAACAGACATGAGCAGTAATAGGAAATTAATATCAATAATAATAATAAATAATAAAGTGGTAATTAAAAAGTATTATTTTTCCATAACATAGGCTCTTTGAGAAAGGGACACAAAAATGTTTTTACAAACGCTATCAGAGAATTTGCAATTCTATTTAATTTTAAAGCATTAAAAAATAAATATTGAATAATTCACCAGAAATTAGGTATTAAAATCTGAGCTTTGGCGAGTTCAACGCTGGGTTAAGCGCTTTAATTGTTCTCTTATTCTAGTCAAAATCATACTTTGCAGGGAGTTTTTACGATGAGGAAAGGAAAATTAAAATTGCTACCTTCAGAGGTAGCAAAAAGGCAAAACTTGGAGGCGCCGGGTATCGATCCCGGTACCTCTCGCATGCTAAGCGAGCGCTCTACCATCTGAGCTACGCCCCCTGATAATATATTATAAAATTTGATATTTGTTTAAACCGACAAATCTGGGTCAATATTCTGCCCAGGGTGGGGCACAATTGCAACTCTCTATCACAGGGAACACTAGAAAAAGGTCTTGAGCGACCAGAGTGGCTACGACTGCCAAGACGAAAGCAACACTTTCACTTTTTTTGATAGCAATAGCACATATTTTTCACTCAAATTAAAATTATAACATAAAATAAAATATGTGAAGTAAAAAATAATAAAAATATTAAAATACTAACCAGGTTTGCATTTGAAGGGTTCCCTGTTCCATTGGCCATTTTCTTTGCACGTGATTTTGGTGAAATCGGGCTCTGCGGAATGGAACGCTTTGCAACTGAGCTTGGCCTCAGTGCCAATGGCAACAGGGTCAAGGCAGGTGACTCTCCGACCTTGCAACATACATTCGGGCTCTACAGTTTCCAAAATTAGAGCCGGGCACTTCTTAGGTCCAGCTGCAACTACAGGATTAAAAAAAAAATCATTAATTCATTATTGCCCCCGAAAAAAAATTATGAACACAGCAAGTTCATGAGATGAAAAAACGGGGCTGGCTTAATTTATCACTCCAAAATTCCTTTCTTTGATATTTAAAAAGAAAATGAATTATGTACCTGGAGCAGCTGTTGAGGCAATAGGCTGCGGCGCCAATGGCTGGCCTCCAGAAGAATGCACAGGTCTGGAGGTGGCAGGCCCAGGTCTGGTGCCTCCCGGTCTCGGGGTGCCAACTTGAGGCCTGGGGGGTGGCGCTCGGCAAAGAGGCAGAATCGGCCTCCAATGTCCATTGATGCAATAGGACACGGCAGACGCATCCTTCCCTTTAGTCCTGGCAGCAGGAAGCTCGTAGGGTTGTTCACAGAACATGCGAATGCCAGTGTAAGGTGGCGCCAGAGACACTCCTGGGCGACCCTTTAAATATTTACTTTGGTTAAACCATTTTTGTAAAACAAATTCTTACCTTGCAAATATCAGAAATATTGGGATCGTTGGTATTTAACTCCCCCAATTTGTTTCCTGGACACCCAAGAACATTGTAATAAGCCTTTTCAGGAAATTTGGGCACCCTGCAGCCGCAAATGAAGTCATCCTCGTCAGAATTATCGGCACAGTCTTGGTTACCATTACACCTCAGATCTTTGCTAATGCAACCACCGTATTGACAGCGAAATGATCCAGCAGGACATCTATTCCCAAACAACAATTTAAAATGTATTTCATAAATGAGAAGAGATAAAAATTTCTACCTAAATCCTCTGCACTGGGTCACAGTTTCATCCGATCCGTCAGGGCAATCAAGGGTGCCGTCGCAAATCCTTTCCTTCTCGATGCAAGTTTTTGTAGTGTCAAGACATCCAAAATGATATCCATCACTAAAAAAAGCCTTAATTTTATTATTATAAATCAAAATTTATCTGACGAGAAAAACAGTTTTGCAGCCAAGCTTGTATTATAAAAACATTTGTTTAAATAAAAATTAAGTAAAAACGAGGGTTTATTATTTGAAAACTTAAATAGACTTGAACAAATGTTCTTTCAATTATTTCCTCACCTTTCACATTGCTGCTTAAATGCCAGGTCCTGAGGTTGAGGCGTTGAAACGCACTGACGTCTTGGAAGAAGTTCATCTGAATTGTCCCAGCAGTCCATGTTCCCATCGCAAGCACGTTCCCTTTCTATGCAACCGCCGTAGCTGCATCGGAATGCATAATTTGGACACCTTACAGAAAAAATTATTATACCAACTGGAGAAGCAAATAATTTGAAATGTTTGTCTTACTGAGAAATTCTGCAAAGGGAGTAAGTCTCGTCGCTCCAATCGCTGCAGTCTTGAATACCATCGCACGTTGAAGCCAATGGCACGCACTCCCCAGAAAAGCAAGTGAATTCACTTGCACTGGGAAAAGAAGCAAGTAATTCAAAATATAGTGAACATGTTTTATATTTAAATTTCCCACTTTTCACATCCAGAGCCGGGTGCATATCTTTTTTCCCTGAGTTGAGGGAATTGACTGGTGTATCTGGTGAGGCTGCTTCCCTCTGAAGGAACTGGAATAAAATTGGCTGGAAGCTGAGCTGGATTGCTAAAAACTTCGTAGAAAGAAGTTGGTTAGACTAAAAGCAGCCGCAAAATAATGACCTTGCCCTTAGCATAAAAAGGTTCAACAACCTGAAAAGACTGCTCGACCGCATCTTAAAAACCTGTTGCTAACAGCAAAATGTTGCCTAATGCTTTGCTGCTGGGTTTTTGCAATCATTCAATTTTTTAATCAAATTTTAAGTCTTTTAATAGTTATTCACTAATCTTGAACGGGAAAGATTTAAAATAATATGAGAAGTTTAATATTTACTGAATGCACCATAGAAAATTTTATTATAAGAGACTGGACTGGATTTTCAGTGCAAGTGATAAGTTTTTTAAGGTCACGCAGGGGGTTATTATATTAAAAAATAAAATCTGATTATATATTGCTTGAATAGTTGGAGCCAGTTGGAGCTTATTGAAAATTAATAAAACATTTCCTTAAAGGTCAAGATGAAGCTGATCAAGAGATAATGGGAAGACGGCTGATAAAAGAAAGGGGTAGTTGAGTAATTAAAAAAAAAACTCACCATTCGGAGCTGCAATTATTAGCTTGAACAAAAAACAAGCCAACGATAAAATCAAAAAATTTTGTTGGCCCATGGCGTCTTTCTTGGTGTTTGCAACTCCAGGGCCAAAGCGACACTGCAAAACAGGATCCCAAGCTTGGGAGATCTCTCGACCTTGCGTGACGTAAGAGCGCTCGCGGTCGGTAATTGGGACTTAAAATGCGTGAAAAAACGAGGAATCGTCTAAAGACCACGCGAGCAAAACAAAGTAGAAGAGTTGTTTTGACAAGATAAAGTGACACAAATAAGCCGATGAGCTTGAAAAAAGCTGTTCATTATTTCTAAATTAGCAAGAACAGTCAACATTTGAAGCTTATGAAAAATTTTCATTTTTATTCTCCATTTCACATCAGGACACAACTCTCGTACATTAATGATATAATCAAAAGGTTCTGATTGAAGTAATTTTAATAGAGGTGGCTTACGACCGATAATATAATATTTAATAATAGGAATGTGTCTTTGACCAAGAACTAATAAGACAGGCAGCACAACCGTACTTTTCGACTCCCAAAATATTGCTTCTGAGGTAATTATATAGCATCACAGAGGTGCTCTGTAAGACAATTCGCACTACTAGATGTCGATAAACTTGTTTGTTTGTGCCTCCGAATAATAAATTAAGATAAAAATCGAACGGACATACGTTGAATGTGTGAGTAGAAGATGATCAAAGTTTTCTATTTTAATATTTTTTCTGTCCGGTAAAAAAGCATGGAGCTTTCAATTTACGGTAAAAATTTAGAGGTACGACTGCTGCAATGAAACTTGCTTGCGTGGGGGTTGACAACAACGATTAATGTGGATTACTCTGAACGCTTTCAATTAATTATCCAATCAAGGATCACAAATCTTAACACATTTACCCGCACAACGTGACAACACTCAGTCCTCTCATTCCCGACTAGGATGTCATCATGTCGCTCCCAGATGCAACAGCCGCCATGTTGGGACCTTTGAGCGAGTCGTTTATGTCTCGACGGAACATTGACAAGTTCTGAGTAAATCTACAAACAGATCAATTCATAAGATAAAATAATTTTAGGTAGATGACAAAATAGTACCTGTCTCTATTTTTGGTCAACAAATTCCTCTCAATGCCGTCCATAAGATTCTCAAACCATTGGGCCATTGCAGGTTGTTTATCAGGAAGTTGCGCTCGGATGATATTCTCTCGTAACTGATTGAAGTACTAAGAAAACAAAATTAATTGATATCATACGCGGATGGTTATTCAATATTAATTTACCTCTTCGTTCAATAGAATGAGGCCGAGCAGAGGTCTGGACATGGACCACTGATTCCTGCAGTCTTCAAACATGATTATGTTCAACACAGTAGACAGGATCTGCTGGAGAATTTCTGGATGCTGCTCAAGCACCTGAAGAAATACTTCGCCTTCTCTGCTGTTTATACTGGCACGCCTGCTCTTCTTGCCTGTTGATCAATTCAAATTATTTTCCTCCCAAGTTGAAGTACAGAAGTCGTACCTTTTTGAGTGAGTTGCTTGAAAAGGAAGGAGACTATGTGGTCCAAGGTGGTGCAACAACCGGTGCACACCATGGTGTCTGGAATTGGTCATTTATTTTTGGGTCACAGATTATTTATAACAATTTTGCTTATTCGAATATTTCGGATTGTTTTTTTTTTAATATTTAGTGATCTGGGAAATAATAATAACAAAACAAATAATGATTTTAATTTGATTCAAGCATGCACATAAGCAATATTTGAAAAGAAAAAAATTTCAGTTTGTAATGAAAATTAAAATTGGGAGCTGCAAGCAAAAATGTTTGTGTGCAGTTGAAATAACGATTAGACCTTGCCAACTTTGCAAATTTTCAGAATTCGTCATGGAGAGGCAAAGGTATAATCACAAACCTCTGAGCAGGCAATAAAAAGCACAACGACAGGATTACGAAAAAAACACTAAACATAAAAAGTCCGATGCATCCGGGTCCAGGTTGCAGAAGGTGCTTACTGCAATGATGGGCTTAAAAAGAACACGAGAGAGGTATGGTTGGCATCTAATAGCAGTGCTGAACATGTAACGTCAATAATTAATAGGAAACTTTGGTTTTCATGGTACAAATTTTGCAATACACACGGAATAAAACATATACAAATTTGTCTGTCACATCAATAAAACTTAACTAACATTGAAACATTACAGAAATTATAAATATGGGAAACTAGGAAATAATAAAGAATTGGATGTTTCAGGGAAAATGTAACTAATTAATTAAAATAAAGCCATGCGAGGATTGCAGGCAAATGTTAATTAAAGAAGTGACCGATTTGGGTTTGATTTGATCTCCTTTGTCTTTAGAAGTGCCTGCTCGAAGGTTTGTGATACCTGTGAACATGTTGAGATTCCCACCTAATGCAGTCAATCCCTCGGATATCGAGGAGAGAATGTACAGGAATACGTTGGGTTCCAGAGTGGCAAGGAAGCTCATGTGGTCTTGCGCCAAACACTCTAGCAGCACGTAGTAGGTCTGAGAAACTTTTGGATAGTCCTATAAAAAAAAGATTAAAAAACCCATCCACTTAATTCAAACATTAATTCACAAGTAAATCTGATTGTGGTATGGCGAGGAGCATGTTTACGAAGGTCTTTAGAGCATTGTCCAGGGCTTCGTCATTGTACAATCGGAACACTCCAAAATTCACATAACTGCCACAGAGAGCTGCCTTCAGCATTCCAAAGCATATTGCAATTCCCTTGAGTTTCATTGGATAAATCTGGTCTTTGGGAATATCCACACTCAAGATTCTTTCACCTAAGAGTGGTTAAGTGTCAAATAAAGCAGATAAAAATTTTACTGTTAATGCTCACCATATGTGCAAATAATTTTGCTGGCCTCACGGAAGAGAAGAATGCCATTTGGAGATGACACGTCAAACTGCAGGCGCTGGGACCTATTTTGGACAAGCTCGGCAAAAAGCTTCAGCACAGGTGTCGTCACTTGTGGGTCATGGAACCATAACTCAATGGCATGCAGCATTATTGGTGTGTAGGTGGGGTAGCTAAATAGTTGATCAAGAAAAACAACACCATTACTATAAAATTTTTGTCCACAATCTTAATATTTACATCCAGTCAAACAGCATCATGTAGGAGGTTTTAGTGTTAAATGCATAGGCCAAGCCTCTCAGGTCCCTGGCTAGGCCAATGAGGGATTTTTTTGCTTCCTCGGCAGGAAACATGTTGCTCTTCGAATTTGCCAACATCTGTCCAATTGATTCGAATGATGCTGAAATTTATGAATTGCTACTCAACTGTCTCTATTGCACTTATTATTTCCAAATACCTGTCAGAGGCATCATGAAATTGTCAAACCTATCTTCGTCTTCACCTAGATCGACCATAAGTAGTCTACCAAGAGACGTGTAGAACATAGATCGGCACCGCATTTCACAGATGGCAGCAGTATTTCCCAAAAATGGAAAATGTTCACTCTAGGTGAAATTAAAAAAAAAAAAGGTGGATTAATTCACACAATCAGAAGAATTGAAAATTATAATTACTGTGTGGTGATTGAGTATGAATTGGACTTCTTCGAGTTTAACAAGCTTTCGAACACAGCTGTAGCCAACAGAGAGATCATTCAACAACTGCAGAGTTTTGGAAATAATCTGCTCGCTTCTTCCCCAATATTTCAGGTTAGTAATGCTACAAAAGAATAATTTCAGTTGTTTTCTCGATGACTCAAGTTCTTTGCTTACATTTTCCTAATAAAAACACTCAACACCATTGATTCCTCATTCAGACCGAGCACCTCAGAAAGCCTCCGGTACACTTTGGAATTCTTCTGGACCTGATCACCAACATAGATTTTGCGGAACTGCTCGAAGAAGCTCAGCATGGCCAGTTCCAATTTCTCGCAGCCTGACTGGCCAAGTCTCGAGTCGGTCAGGTTCATTAGCTGCAAAACTCTGCACACCAACTCTCCGTCCATGGCGTCATGATCATCATTGTTGTTGAATGACACACGACCGCCTATAGCAGCACCAATTATGTAGACTAACCAAGTAAGTCGGCCTGAAAAAGAAATGACACATAATCTCATATTTCCTTCTTCTCTAAAGAAAATATTCTTATTGAAAATGGTCTCACCTTCTTGGATTGTAATATTCATAGTCTGTGACATGTTTCCTGCCAACTCTTGGTACGAACGGGCAGACTGGTCAAACAGTTGTACTAAAAGGGAGCAAGTCTTCTGGTATTCACAACGGCCAATCACTGAGAGCTGCTCAAGTTGCTGTCGCACCATGCCAAGGTCGTCCAATGGGTCCTCCAGAGCCTCCCTCACAACCACCGCAACCGACTCGAGTCTTGAGGTGATGTAAGCAGTTGTGACCTCAGGTGTGTACGTCTCAAGCAAGTGCGGCTCAGTCGCTTTCACATATGGCACAGAGGCAACCATTCGCTGCCACAGGCTAAGCAGGTAATGCACACTGTTAGGAGCAAACTGCCACATCTGCAAAGTCAAGGATAAATTTACTACCATACTTGATTTTGACGTGGTTGTGATTAAAAGTCAAATTATTGTTGATTAAAATAAGAACCACGGAAAATTTGAAAATTACCTGCAAGCTCTCAACAGTGAATTTGGCAATCAGCTGGATGGATTCTGGGTAGTTTTCAACCATGACCAACTCCCCCAACTGATAGTTTGATTTAAGCCTTGCGAGCAATCGACAGAATTCATGGTAATTGGCTGGGTCGCTTAAGCCCTGCGGATTTTGCAGAATGTGCTTGACTCCGTTGACCAGATGGGTGAGGAACTTGGCACGCTCAGTGTTGCTGAAGAGAGACCGACGGACAGACGCAATTTGAACTAAGCACGACAAAGCCTGAAATAATTAATCAAATTTAATTTCTATCTACTTGGAGATAATTTTATGTTTGGATTACTAGAGAGGACAGCGAGGTGGGTAGTGAATGGTAGAGGTCGAAGAAGAGCTTCAGGGTGGTGAAGTCGAGGAAAGCCGGCCGCCAGCTGGTCGGGATCTGTACTGTGCACAGATCATCTGAACTCTCGTCCGTCGAAGTGCCGATGAAGTCAAATGTCAAACAGTTGTGGGCAAGCTTCAGAAGCTGCGTCATCAGTCCATGCTGGAAAGAAAAAAAACTTTAGCCCAGTTCAAAAGAACGCAACGGCTGCATACTTGACTTTCATCGCTGAAGTTCAGGCTTTTGCAGTTCTCGCGCGCCTGGCCCAGAAGAGTGCACGAGAGTCTGAAAATCTCAAACAACTGAGTATCCCTGAAAGACGATGCGATTTTGCGATGCTTTGTGAGCGAGCGGCTGGCGTCGGCTTCCGATATTTGGTTCATCTCGCATGTCAGCTGCGAAAGCAACTGAACTCCTACCATGCAGTGTTCAACAGAGCCCTGCAGAAAAAAATAATGAAATTTAAAATAATCGATTCAATGCGTTAATAATAAGAAACATGATTTTGGATTTGTTTGAAGAAATTGACACTTGATGAGATGATCATGGGAATGAAAAGATTGGGCTTTTTCTCGTTGCAGAAATTGTTTTTAAAATATTAAATTTAATTTTGAATAAAAAACAATTTCTGCAACAAGGAAAAGCTCGATCTCTTCATTCATTCCCATGATTGTTAATAATGACTGAAACTTTTTTTTGTCCTTTTTAAAATTTACATACTCTGTTTTTGTGTACTAAAAAAGTCAAATTTTATTTTTATTGTTTCCAAACTTGTTTTAAATTCACCTGCAAAAACTTGGTTATGTCCGCAATGACATTGCGAAAGACGTTCTCGTCCTTGTCGACGTCGAACCAGCCAAGCTTGGTGATCCTGGCAAACAACGTGACCAAAGCCTGCACCACAAAGTTGGCCAACTTTGGCCTGGTGGCCAAGTAGTTCAGCACATAATTCCCTGAAATCAAAGCTCAATTATTGGGCGCGACGTCAAAATTGGTGCCATCCTACGAATGTCAATTCGCTGCTGGAGGGACAGTCCCTGCGCCGAGCGAGACACTAGCTTGGTGAGGGTGGTGGCCGCGAGCAGCTGAGCGTAGCTTGAGTCGCCCCTGTCGAGGAGCAGCTGGCACTTGGCCAGGGTGTCCGGCGCATTTTGGAAGTTGACCAGTGCCTTCTCGGCTTCGGCGCGCACAGCCGAGTTGCCCGATTCGTAAAGCTGTTTACACAGCAATTCCAACTGCTGCACTTCCTGGAATCCAAAAGGAAAAAAAAAATCACGAGTTAGAAAAAAACAATCCATATTAGGTGGGAAAATCGTCACATAGCTGTGGTCTGTTCTGGCCTTTTTCATCAGTGACAAATAATTTGAGCTGAAATTTTTACAAAATGACGTCGGAACGGCGCTGTACGCTTGAGATTGGCAACAAAAATAGATCAGGAGCTGCTGGCGAAGGCGCAGAAGACAAAAGTCTCAGTGCCGGACGCCGCGACCGACAACAAACGCCTCTCTGTTCTCGCCCATCACAAAACCGACGGGACGGATTCTGAACACCAAAATTTCTTTGTCTTCATAAAAAGCCACGAATTTGCCTCAAAAATATTTAGTTTCATAAAAGTTATAAATCCGCAGATGTATTTAAGGAAAAAGTAAACAACAACAAAAACCGAGACGCAGACACGAACGTAGGGTCAAAGTTTGCGACTGATTGATGACAGAAACGGACATTTGCCGGACAGGCCGGTGACGCCAAATCGGACAACTTTGCGTAATTAACTGGCAAAAGATGAGAATCTCGGGGGAAAATTCCCAGTTTCGGGGAAGAACCGGATCAAAGTTCCGTCACGTGAAATGAAATGGCGGTCTGGAAAAGCAATGTTCGACTCGACGAGGGTTTCAGGTCGGTTCGCGAATTCGGCGCTTGCGGCGAAGATTCGCACGCGTGTCCCGAGCTAAGGCGGCGTCCGACGGCTGCTCACCTGCAACTCAGTCATTGGCGCGATGATTCATTGAAAATTAATCGGGCGATTCTTGATTTTCTTTGCCGAGCAAGAGCAAATTCTGCACGGAGACAAGGGCAGACGAGAACCAGCCAGCCAGCAGCAGCCAAATGGGAATGCGTTTCGCACTTGCACTCTCACTTGTTTTTGGTTGTTGACAAACACGCGAGTGGCGCGAGATCGGCGATGCAGCCCTGCCAAGCCCGGATAAACATTATCAGTGGCGAGACTTAGCAATGAAATAAATAATAATTCATTTTAATTTAATTGTCAAAACTTTTTATTTGAACACTGGTATTTGTGGTGTACCTCAAGTTTTGTAAAAACGCAGTCTGGATTGAGCTGGAGACAAAATTATGTTCTTGTCTTTTATATATATATTAATAAAGATTATCCTCTCAGCTGTGTCATAATTTTGATAATTTTCCGCGTTTATATTATTAAGGAATTTAATTTTTTTAATGTAACAAAATAAAACTTTTTATTTTTGAGTAAAATTATTATTATTTATTTCTTTTTATCCAAATATTAAAATAGATTTGACATACATTTGATAAATTCTTTAGCACAGCTCTGATAGATTATAAACTATTTTAAATTACTTCGTTCTCCATCACAGTGCATCACAGAAATAAAAAAATTAACCTTAACATAATATCAGTCTGGAGAGCGCTAAAAACCCTTACAAAATGTCCCAACATGTTCAGAAAGCGAGTGGGTAACTATTACATTGCATGGTTATTCATGATATGCTCCCTGTAAAATTTGTGATAAGGCTTACTTCTGCAGTCTGTACATTTGGTTTTGGTGAATTCCTTGAAATCGTCTGTCAGGTCAGCATGGTCAGTGGATTCCATGTGTTCAAATCGTTCTTTTCTAGAAAATTAAAAGTTTGTCAATATGGCATATGCACAAAAAACAATATTTTTGGTTACTCACTCAGTTCTGAACGATAGATGGCAATACATGGAGAGGCCACAGACAAATGGCTCAGCCTTATCTTTGTGATTGCTTCTGTGGTGCCTGATTAAATTGTGTTTGCTTGAGGTCTTGTATTCACAGAATATGCAATAGATGCGCTAAAAAGCAAACTCATGAATAATACCATGAATAAGGAAAATTTTATTTTATTTTTACCGAATCAGTCCCTTTCACAATTTTCTCTTCTTGTCGACTTTCCTGGCCATCCTGGTTGATCTTCGTCAGGGCTGCCGTATTTTCTTCGACACCTGAACCTTCCTCCGTAGCTGTGACCTCTTTAATGGCTGTGTTGTTAAGTTTTTTGTCTGTCAGGGCCAGCAGGTGCTCAAAGAACGACGAGATAGGCCAAATGAACAGGCGAGTCCATCGCTGATGAAGCATGGTCCTAAGTAAGAACTGTTTAATCTGTGTCATCTGCTTCATCAGAATCACTCCATTTTTAGGCTGGGCATCAACGATCTCCGTCGTCTACAGAGCAGAACCATAAAAAAAATTGAAATGAATTTCTTTACAAAATTTAATGTTGAATGTTTACCTCGGAAACCAACTTCATGTCGTTTGCCTTCAGAGACTGTGGACCCTCTTGTGTTGCCACTGGCAGATGAGGCAGATCACCTGGTTGAGCTTTCAGCTTGTGCTCAATCTGCTGGATGAGAACTGCTAATTCATTCTTAGGCTGGGCATCAACGATCTCCGTCTACAGAGCAGAACCATAAAAAAAATTGAAATGAATTTCTTTACAAAATTTCATGTTGAATGTTTACCTCGGAAACCAACTTCATGTCGTTTGCCTTCAGAGACTGTGGACCCTCTTGTGTTGCCACTGGCAGATGAGGCAGATCACCTGGTTGAGCTTTCAGCTTGTGCTCAATCTGCTGGATGAGAACTGCTAATTCATTCTTAGGCTGGGCATCAACGATCTCCGTCTACAGAGCAGAACCATAAAAAAAATTGAAATGAATTTCTTTACAAAATTTCATGTTGAATGTTTACCTCGGAAACCAACTTCATGTCGTTTGCCTCCGTAGTCTTTGGACCCTCTGGTGTGGCCACTGGGTCTTCTCTGATTACCACCTTTAAGTTGACCTTCGGTTTTTTCAGGCCTGTATTCTGAAAATTTAAAAATTGAAGCAGTTATGTATGAGATAATGTGCTGTTGCGTTAAATTTTGAATACTAACAATTTTAGATGAAATATGACTATATCTTCTAGCACCTCCAGGCATGATGATGTTAGTAGCGTCCGGTGTAGTGAAACACTTGCTGCTGCGATGTACACACGAGAGCTGTAAAAATAAATAAAATAAGTATTTTATTACAAATTGAAATAAATTATCGGTTTTTTTATTCAATTGTTGTCGGTTATTGATTTAATCAGAATATGAATTATTATTACTCTTTTTATTGACTTGTGAATGAGGGCAATGAGGCTGAATTTACAAATTAAATAAAAATTAACATAGTACTGGCCCAAACAATGGCCTGAATGGCATTGCTATTTTGAGCGGAAAATTAGTCGGATTTTTTAAAATTCATGTGGAATCAGGTAGTTGAGCAGTTATTGAAAATTGAAATAAACACATCGATTGTGGAATAATTCAGAAAATGAGAATTTGTGCTATCAGAAATCTTCCACAATGGTGGAGGACTCCAAATCTTTTTGTACAGAATTTAATTTTTCGACTTGTCGATTGTATAGCACTTGGGGGGCAACGACATGGCTCGGTGGGTACGGAAAATTGTCTAATTGGCTTTTATTGGGGAAAAGAGTCTTACCTCAGGGTCTGGTTGTCTGATGATGACCGATTTAATACGACGTGGGAACGGAGGATATACGGCTGCGGTCCTGAGTCTTGGCCGTCTTGGGTGAATGGAAAGGAAAAGGGGGAGTGAATTTGGACATTTGGAGGGCCCAATAGAGTCGTTTTTTTTTTTTTGTAGAATTAAGTCAGATTTTACTACTTAATCAGATAAATTAATTAATTTTAGAATTTTTGGCACGATTCAAATGTCGAAAAATCAGCCGCCGTTCGGCAATCGGCGTTCGAAAAAAGGGGAGTGGCAGGGTGAAGAGTCGTCTGCGAGTGAAACGCCCCCTTTTTGCCTTTCGCGCTTGAGTGCAGGCCATTGATTTACCAGTATTTAAATTATTAGGTCCATGATGCAGGCCAAGATCTTTTCTAAAAGATCCTTGGCAGGCACTAGGCACAGAGTTAGACAAATTCTGTGAGTGCAGGGGTACGTGAGTGGACCTAATAATTTAATGGACCGAGCACATATATTGATTGACTAAAATTATTAGGTGTAATGCAACATAGGCAATTTGAGTTACACTAAAAGTAGTGGGGAACCGCATTGCTCCACATAATGGGAGATGGGAGAGGCGAAAATAACAGTGCCTATACTGCCTAATGCCTATCCAACCCGTCATGGATCGGAGTGGCGGTCGCAGGGTTCACTAACTAAACAAAGTAAAAAGGCACTTTTTATATTTTGGATTTTGTTGGTTTTATTTGTAAATTAAGATGAAATAGAGATAGATAGAGTATTTATTGAACACAACTAGGTGTACAACGGGTGTCTAAAGCTAATTTGTCTTCCTAAAATTAATTTTACAATTAAGCTTGTTTCGATAATTATTACAAAGTACAAAATTAGTTAATTTTGATTTTTGCAGCCTCTCTTAGGCTTAGTTTTCGTTCATTACATTCAAGAATATGATATTGTGAACATTTCTTACCGCAGTGCTTGCATTCACAATCTATTGTCGCTTGAGAATGAAAATTTTTATTCTTACAAAATAAATAGTGGTACCCGTGACAGGCAAATCTCGTAAACACTTGGCGATCACTGAACATTGCACATTGCCAATTTTTATTCTTCATAGTTTCTGTCTCGTAGAACTCATCACATATCTCAAGTTTGTTTAAATATTTAGACACACAAAATTTCTGGAATGCTTCAGTTTCAGTTAGAGAATATTTTACCTGTAAGTCCGATACAAAGAGATCAGTGTCAACTAATTCATACACAAATCTAGATCTAATATACTTGGACAGTCCTAAAACTCTTTTTAAATATCTTGTTTTGACTTTTTCAAGATTTTCAAAATCAGTCTTTGTTAGGAAAGGCCATATTTCTTCAATGCCGTAGGACGCAATTGGGGAAATTTTTAGATCAAATAGCTTGTGTGCTGTTTCAATGGATAATTGTTTTAGTTCTCGTATATTATAAGTGGCCAGCAATGCAGCTCTTGTTCTTTTTTCAATGTGCTTTCCAAAAGAGATTCCTGATGGTTGAAAAGTAACTCCTAAATATGTAAACTCAGCAACTCTCTCTATTTCAATTCCACCTAAATCTAGGCGGTCACTTAATGCATATTTTCCTAGACCCTTATTTCTAAATTTCATGAATTTGCACTTTTCCAAGTTAAGTTTCAAACTGCGTTTTAACAAAAATTCTTTCATTCTGGCTAAAGCAATTTTCAAGTCACTTAATTTTTCTGAGGTTAAAACAATATCATCTGCATAATAAATGGCTTTCACGTTTGGCAAATCTCGTAGAATATTATTTATATCAGCTAAAGAGTAATTGAACAGAAATGGGGACGTGCATCCCCCCTGTCTTACCCCATTTGATTGTGTAATAAGTTTTGATACTGTTACTCCATCTACTATTCTCAAGAAATTTAAGTCTAAGTTGTGAGCTAAATAATTTAACTCCGTGAACGTTAGCTTCTTGCTTTCTATTAACTTCTTAAAAATAAACGCCCTATCTATTGAGTCAAAAGCTTTACTTACATCCAAAAATAAGGCATATAAGGGTGATTTCTTCTTATAAACTGTCTCTTGAATGTTATTAACTAAGGACTTAATTGCCTGTAAAGTGGATTTTCCTTTCACAAAACCATATTGATTGCCTGGAATCTCGTGAATCAAAGATGAGTAGATACGTGCATGCAGTACACGATCTAACAGATTGTAAAAAGCCGAACTAATACATATTCCTCTATATGAATTTGTATTTTCCGCGTCCCCTTTTCCCTTATACAAGAGTTTTAGATTTGACTGCCTCCATTCCTCTGGACATGTTCCTAGCTCCAAGCATTTGGTGAAAAATTGCGTTATTTCGGGGAGTAAGGATTCAACAAGTAGTTTAATATTTTCATTCTTCACTTTGTCAGGTCCAGGGGATTTCCCGTTTTTCATTTTCTTTAATGCTAACAAAACTTCTTCTTCCATAATAGGTGAAAAATTTATATCATTTCTGTAATCTACTATCATCTCTTTCAGATTTAAAGATTCATTTTCACTCAATTTTTTCTCGTTGAAAATTTTTTCAAAATTGCACTCCCATTCATCCATCATTATATTGTTTGTATTGTAAAAACTTTTGCTCAACTTGAGAATTTTATAGCACTTATTCTGCTCCGCCTCTTTTAAAATGTCCAACTCCTTCATTTGCACAAAAGCGTTCTTCTTCATTTCACACACATTTTTGTAATTTCTTTTTATTGCGGTATAGTGCGGTAATAGAATCTTGATTATACTAGTTACATTTAAACTTTCAGCCACTTCCAAGCACTCTCTCCATTCGTTCAATTTCTGTTTTAATTCGTAGCATTCAGAATCAAACCACGGTTGACTAATCCGTTCAGTTTGCCTACGAGGAATGTCGGCCTCTTTCATAATATTTATCATATTTTTATAAAACTCTTCAACGTCCCCCTTTTCCAGATTTGTTCTTAGAATATTTTTATATTTAGTCTCAATAAGCTCTTTAAGTATGTTTTCATCTAATTTAAAATTTTTCTTATTCAAAGACATGTCCCCATTTCTGTTCTTTTGTTTTGTGAAATTAAATTCTATTGAAATAAAATTATGTTTTCTTATGGTTGGGCAAATTTTAAAATTTTCGGTGTAAATTTTTGGCCCTTTGAAGATTAAATCAACCACACTATGACCATTACTACAGTCGTAGGTACTTTTATATGGATATTCATTTACTATTGTCAGACTGTTTTCCTCAGCAAAATCAAGCAGCGAGTCAATTTTTCTGTTTTTAGTATCCAGTCGGCAATTAAAGTCTCCAGCCAAAATGAAATTTTCAAAATTTTCAACATATTTAAGGATTGAGAGAAGTTCATTAGTCACTGTTGTAGAACGTATCTTCGGATTTAAATAGCATGTTACTACTGTAATAATTAAGATGAAATGAAATCTTTTAAGTTTATTAATAATATTTTGTATGAAGATAATGAAGATTTTAGTGTGTCCTCAGCATTAATCAAGAGGATTTTGGTTGAAATTATCATTGTCGTTTCTGTCATGTTGGCATTAAAATTTTACTGACCGCATCCTAAAGTCCTAGTCGGCGCTCGCCCGAAGTCGGGACGCGCGGTCACGGGCAGCAAAATAAATTTATCTAAATTATTATTGCTACAGAAATATAAATCTAATTAAGAATTTTAACTGTAGATTGATTCAGAATTATTTTTAACTTTCAAATTCACATATTTTACTAGTAAATCAGTAATTTTGTGATGCATTGTTTATTTAAGACTTTGAAGAAATTAACAAAATAATTCCTCTGCAGTTTTATAATTTATAAATTTATTTTAAGGCCGCTTCACACAAAATTAACAAAACTTAATCCAAGTTTGGTGAAAAATTTTATAGATAGGGTATTTATTGAACACAACCAAGTGAAATCTGTGTCTTTAGTGAAAAAGAGACGGATTCAGAGACTGAAATGACATGTTTCATTATACAAAAAGAATTAAGAAAATTTTATTGCGAGAGTTCCGAGTTGGTATATATAAAAAATACATAAAAAAATATTTCTTACAGATTAAATTTATAATTTTCAGTTTAAAGTAAAATTCGACCGTTCAGTGGTATGTTTTACAATAAAAAAAGTAAATTAAAAACCTATTAATTTATTTATTTGTTCTCCATCAAAACAAAAATCTCCATCAAAACATACAATCGAAAAAATAATTACAAAAAAATGTTGTTCTGAAAATACAAGCCAGAATATTTGATGTTATTAGTTGGGGGAAATGGATGGAGAAATGGCTTTTTGACAGCAGACAGACTGCTAAAGCACAGTGAACTCTGCTGCTCTTGCGAGTGAGAGTCACCGGCCGCTGGAGCCGACAGAAAGAGTAAGATAGGGCGACGGCACCACAAACGTTAAAAGTAACTTGGGCCGTCGGCGGCAGAAAAACTACTTCCTCGCTTAGACTGTCATGGTCATCTAAATTAAAATCAAGTTTTTGCCACAAGTACGCCTTGCAATGCGGGGGAAACTGTGCAAGCGTACATTAAAATATAAAAAAAACTCGCTCACTCACTCGCTCACTCACTCGCTCGCTCGCTATCTACCTCACTAACTCGCTCACTCACTCACTCACTCACTTACTCACTCACTCACTCACTCACTCACTCACTCACTCACTCACTCACTCGCTCTAGCTCTCACTCTATAACTCACTCACTCGCTCACTCACTCACTCACTCACTCTAGCTCTCACTCACTCACTCACTCACTCACTCTAGCTCTCACTCACCCACTAATTCACTCACTCACTCACTCACTCACTCACTCACTCACTCACTCACTCACTCACTCACTCACTCACTCACTCACTCACTCACTCACTCACTCACTCGCTCTAGCTCTCACTCTATAACTCACTCACTCGCTCACTCACTCACTCACTCACTCTAGCTCTCACTCACTCACTCACTCACTCACTCTAGCTCTCACTCACCCACTAATTCACTCACTCACTCACTCACTCACTCACTCACTCACTCACTCACTCACTCGCTCTAGCTCTCACTCACTCACTCACTCACTCGCTCTAGCTCTCACTCACTCACTCACTCACTCGCTCTAGCTCTCACTCACTCACTCACTCACTCACTCGCTCTAGCT